TTTGACAAAGGTGGCAAGAGCATACAATGGAGTAAAGACAGCCTCTTTAATAAATGGTGTTAAGAACATTGCACAACCAAATGCAAAAAAATGAAACTAGACCATCAACTTACACCACACACAAGAATAAACTCAAAATGGATAAAAGACTTAAATGTGACTTGTGAATTCATAAAAATCCTGGAAGAAAACGTAGCCAACAAAATTTCAGACATCATACGCAGCAGAATTTTCACTGATACATCACCTAAGGCAACAGAAATAAAGGAGAAAATGAACACATGGGACTACATCAAACTGAAAAGCTTCAGCACGCAAAAGAAACAACCATCAAAATGGAAAGGGAACCCACTATATAGGAGAGCATAACTGCCAATGATACATCAGATAAGGGATTAATTTCCAAAATATATAGAGTGCTCATGCAACTCAACAAAATGAAGACAAAGAACCCAATTAAAAAGTGGGCAGAGGAGCTAAATAGACACCTTTCCAAAAAGGACATACAAATGGCCAAGAGACATATGAAAAAATGCTCAACATCACTAATCATCAGAGAGATGCAAATTAAAACAACAATGAGGTATCACCTCACACCTGTCAGAATGGCCACCATCAACAAATCATCAAACAAGAAGTGTGGAGAAAAGGGGACTCTAGTACACTGCTGGTGGGAATGCAGACTGGTGCAACCACTATGGAAAACACTAAGGTGTTACTTCAAAAAATTATAAATTGAACTGCCATTTGACCCAGTGATCCCACTTTTAGGAATATATCCTAAGAAGCCTGTAACACCAATCAGAAAGAATAGATCTACCCCTATATTCATAGCAGCACTATTTACAATCACTAAGATCTGGAAATAGCCCAAGTGTCCATCAATAGATGAGTGGATAAAAAAGCAGTGGAACATATATACAATGGAATACTATGTAGCTGTAAGAATGAAAGATCTTTTATCCTTTGAGACATGGAGGGACCTCGAGAGTATTATGCTAAGTGACATAAGCCAATCAGAGAAAGACAAATACCACATGATCTCACTTATTTGGGGAATATAATGAACAAGATGGGCTGATGAACAAAATAGGTGCAGAGACATAGAAAGGAGTATATGGTTCAGGCTGACAAACCTCAGAGTTGGGGGTTAGAGGGAATGGATGAGATGAACCAAAGAACTTATATGCATGTATGCGTAACCAATGGACATAGACAACAATGCTGAGGTGGGGGGTCAGGATGAAGAAGAGGGTGTCTGGGGTGGGGGAAGGAGAAACATCTGTAACAAAAATAAATTAATAAGAATTGAAAAGAAAAGAAAACAAAACAAAACTCGTTACACATGCAGATTCGTGAATGTCACCCCACCTACTGATTCAGACCCTGTGGAGAGGGGAGGGCAGGCGTTCTGCAAGTGAGCAAGCTCTCCAGGTGATTCTCACAAGAGCACACAGGAGCGAGGGCCCCTGCTAAGCAGAGTTGCTTTGCTCCATTCTAACTGCAACAGACAGATTTCTGAGTGTAAGGTTCTCCTGACCATCCTGAACAAGGCTGGAAGGGGTTCTCTTCACTAGACAGCACAAAGTCTGAATGAAGATGACTGAATTCATGGTACGGAATGATTATGACTTAACAAAATATGTAAGCATGATCATACGCATAAGATACTAATAGAAAGGGGTGTGGAGGTATCAAGCAAAAGAGGAAAAAAAAGAGAAAGAGCAACAATGTGGTGGAAGAGGGTTTAGGGGGGAATAATTGGTGGTGGAGGAAAAAAAGATACTAATATAATAATTCCCCCAAGGTCCAGTTAATTCCCCCAAGGTCCAACTGCCCCTTGGTATAAAAATAGGTGAACTCCTTAAGCTGGCCTATGTACAGGTGAGTGATGTTCTTTTCTTTGATGGTGTTAGTTTTGCATGTTCACTGGTTTTTGTGTCCCACTGAGTTGCAAATAGTAGCTGGGAGGCCCTGCCTTACATCAGAGCATGTAATTCCAATGGCACAGAGTTCTGTCTGGCCTCCCAGGTCCTTGTTCAAAACTCGACAAATCTAGCCGATTCTACTCCTAATTTAACTGGGCATAACATACAAGTACTGGAAGATAGGGCCTGTCCTTTAAAACACAGCTCCCCACACCTCGGGAGAGCTAGGAGCCACCCTCTGTACTATGGCTCTCAGGTGACTTGCAGGAAGTCAAGGGGGCGGGGTAGTCTCAGAAACTCTCTTCCGTGCATTGCCCAACAGCAGCAGTCATCTGGAGGTTTTCCTGTTTCACTTTCTCAGCACTGGGGCTGAAGCAGGGCTCCAGAGTGAAACTGACTTAGGTTTCAATTCCTGGCTCTGCTGGCTCAGTCCTCACCTCCCAAAGGGTGGTAACCAAGAAAACCATGCACGTGACACACTCAGTACTAAGCCGGGCCCCTGGAAAGCACCCCAGTGGCAGGCATCATTTCATGCCCACACACGGCTGCCCCGCCACTCCGCAGCTGTTAGAGCAGCAGCCTGTCCTCGTTTGCTACGGCCACCCTTGGCGACCCCACCTGTCCTGACACACTGCTTGCCCTAGTGCAGTGGCCCTTTGGTTGCTGGGCTGGACACATGGCACCAACTCCCTCTGGGAGGAACTGGGTGAGAGCAGTCAACTCCAAAGCAGGGTGCAGAAGGAAGTAAGAAGAAAATATCAGAACTGCTAATTTTGTTTTTCTCATAGTTAAAAAACTCTCCATTTCCTCTTTTATGACATACACAATGTAGTTTGTATTTAGGTAAAAATAGCCATTTCTTTTAGAAAATATACAATGTATGTTGGTAACTCATAGGTTTACAGATCTTGGGAGTGGGCACAGGCTTCATTTTTACTGATGGGTGCATGATCAAAACTGTTTATAAAGATCACAGAGGCGGCAACGATGGTTAGTTGCTACACCCCGAAGAGGTAGTTACCACTGACATTACCATTTTACAGATGAGAAAACTGAGACACAAAGTATTTGCCAAGGCTAGAACACGGAGAGGCTGAGTGACCAACCCAGCCAGGTTGACGCTGAAGCCTTTATCCTCAACTACTGTGGTCCATCCCGACAAAGAGCTTTAATGTACATGTTTGTAAGACTTCCTCAGTGTTCTATGAGAAACAGGGATGTGTCCCTGAATCTCTGTCCTTTAAGATTTCTCTTGAATAAATAAGGATTAAATGATCAGTGACCATTATGTTTTAGATCCTAGAGAGCAAAAAAATGAAAAACAAAATCTGTAAATTTAAGTACAGATATAAGAACTGCCTTTTTTGCCCTGGCCGGTTGGACCAAGGACTAAAGGGTCACGGGTTTGATTCCCAGTCAAGGGCACATACTTGGGTTGCAGGTTCGATCCCTGACCCAGGTTGGGGTTGTGCAACCAATTGATGTTTCTCTCTCTCTCTCCCCGTCCCTTCCACTCTATCTAAAAATCAATGGGAAAATATCCTCAGGTGAGGATTAACCAAACAAACAAAAAATTGTCTTTCATGGCATAACAGCTACTGACGACATAAATAAGCTATTAGTTTTGTTGTAAATTATGACAGATGATCATCGATACCCACCTTGATGTTAACTACTAATGAGCACACGGTTATCTCCTCACAACCTGAATTATAGGTAACGTAGAGTATGTTACATGGAATACATAATTCTGTACTTCAGTATTTAAAATTTTAGTGGCCGCCCTGGCTGGTTTCGCTCAGTGGTTAGAGCGTCGGCCCGCAGTCCAGAGAGACCCGGGTTCAGTTCCCGTAAAGGCACGTACCTCAGTTACAGTTTGTCCCTGGCCCTGGCTGGGTCGTGCGGGTGGCAGCCACTCGATGTGTCCCTTTTACGTCAATGTTTCTCTCTTTCTCTCTCTCTCTCCCACTCTATCTGAACAAAAAAAAAAAAAAAGGAAAAATGTCCTCAGGTGAGGATAAAAAATAAAATAAAATAAAATTTTAGTGGCCAAACTTGCAGCAAATGTTTTCAAAGATATTTCCCAACATGCAAAAACAATTTCCCTGTAATTTTTAACACCTATTTGTATAAATATCCATATATCTAGTGGTGCCTTTTGATTATTTTTGGCCCTTATTTGGGAAACCAAGTGCTTCTGTGTCCCCAGACGCTGTACTGGGGCTAAGGACACCAAGTGCTTCTGCACTGCACACAAACTAGTGAGCAGTGGATGTCAGAGCAGCGTAACCCATTGTTGGTCAAATCCCCAAGCACCCTGGTCTGCAGGACGGATGGCCTGCGTGCTCGTTAGGAGGCAGGCCTCATCTGGCCAGGAAAGAGATTTCATGCCCTGGGGGCTGGAACGAGGACACAGACAGGCAGGTCTGGAAGGCAAGCCACAGCAGGAGGGGCGACCAGCCAGGATTCTAAATGGGGCAGCTGGCATAGGACAAAAAGGCTTGGAAACAGTGGGATGACATGCTGCCAGGCTAGAGAAGTCTGTGCCTAGGAAGGGATTACTGTAATGAGCAGTGATGTGTGCATAGTGGCTCAGAGATCCCAGAAAGGAGAAGGGAAGAGGGCAGTGTCCCAAGAGTGAGTTTCCCTGATAGCTGTGTCAGGCACGCAAGGCTCCGTGACTACGCCGGCCGGTCTATGTTAAGTGGAAAGCACGGGCAAGGTACACCTTGGAACAAGCCTAAGGTGACAACTGTCAGAGTTCTGGAAACTCGGCATTTCTTACGCAGCTGAACAGTGCAAACGCATGGTTTTAACGGGCAGGAGCTAAATACACTCAGAGAGCTTCTTCAAGCGCCCACCGCTGCTAAATAGTCCATCATAATTGGGCAATTACTGTTTTCAGAAAATTATTTTAGTTCTACATTTTAGAGGACATGTGTTTGAAAAGTTAAAAATAATATTCAACAAGTTAAAATTTTTAGAGAAATATACTGAGACAGATCCATGTATCTACGTCAACACAAAAAATAACTCTTCACTCTCTTCATACTTCAACTTACAAATTTTGTGCGATCGTTAGATGATATATTAACTTTATTTTCTTTACATAAATTGAGGAAACATATAATTCGATCCAAATATATTACAAGGCATTTAGGGAGGTGTGTTTTGTTGCCCAGCAGATCATCATCTGAAATCTGCTTTCAACACTGAAACAGGCGTGTTTTTAAAGCCTGCCCAGGCTCTGTTCTTGTTCGGGACACATCGGCTTCCACTGAAGTACATACCAGTAAACGAATCAAACAGTCTTAGAAGGTTAACATTCCAGATTCTCCAAAAAATCATACTCAATGCATTCCTCCAGCCGTTTTAAGACCCTTGGGCTGTCTGTGACAGGGAACTCGAAGAGTGGAGGTCCTTGGGTGTCAATGGGCAGTGTGTTTTGGGTTTTAAAAGCACAGTTTAGAATCTTGAAGAACGGCATCAACTGCCTGATGCTGGAAACAGAGTGTTGGCGCAGAAGAGGGAATTCACTCTTCATGGTGATCTCATCAGAGTTGCTAATTTCCTGCAAAAAAAACAAAAACCGAACCTATAATAATGATATGGCTTCGCTAAGAGCTGGAGATCCAAGTGCAGGACTTGCGGGCAGCCAATCCTGAGACGGGTTCTTTATGAAGCTCACTGTCACAGTAAGGACATCCGCACCAACTCAAATATTGGTCTTCAAGTGACATTTCCCACCAGGATTTCGCCCACAGTGCACCCGTGACGGGAGGCCCCTGCCATTCCTCCAACAGGCCCCTCTTCTAAGTAATAAGCAGCTTCTATATGATTGTGTTAGCCAGGGAGCCTTACCTCTTAGCAACTGGGATGAGAAAGTGACACATAAATAAAAAAATAAAGATGGAATTTGTAACCACTAAGTTTTAACACTCAGAGAAAAGAGATTTTGAAAATTATTCCTAGTAACTAAAATCAGGTGGGGAATTGAAATACTTCACTCAGCCCTTCTCTCTTTTTCCACGAACAGACATTTTAAAAAGGAAAACACTTACCCCGTATTTTGATTTTAGAAGTTCTAGAATCCTAACAGTGTGGGGTTTGCATTCTTGCTGATTCTCCTCCAGATCTGACAGGAAGGCAGGGCCCTCTGTGTCCACTTCTGGCACAAATGCCCACCTGTACCTGCAGGGGAGTCCAAGGTCAGGCGCGGGCTCGGAGCCCCCTCAGAAGCAGTTCTATCGAGCTGCAATTCACATACCGTACAATTCACCTGTTTAAAGTGTACAACTTGCCCTGGCTAGTTTGGATCAACAGTTAGAGCATTGGCCTGCGACCGAAGAGTCATGGGTTCGATTCCAGTCAGGGGCGCATACCTTGGTTGCAGTTCATTCCCCAGTCCTGGTCGGGGTCATGCAGGAGGCAACCAATCGATGTGTCCCTCTCACGTTGATGTTTCTCTTTCTCTCCCTCCTCCCACTCTATCTGAAGATAAATGGAAAAATATCCTTGGGTGAGGATTTAAATAAATAAATAAATAAATAAATAAATAAATAAATAAATAAAGTGTATAACTCAATGTTTTTAGTATATCACAGAATTGTACATCCATCACCATAATCAATTTTAGAATATTTTCATTACCCAGAAAAAGAATTCCTGCTCATATCCCCTCAGTCCCCTACACCCCTTAATCTAGGCCACCACTAATATAGTTTTTATCTCTACAGATTTCTTATTCTGGGCATTTCCTATAAATGGAATCATATAATATGGGGTCCTTTGTGTCTGGCTTCTTTCCCTTAACATCCTGTGGTCAAGGTCATCCATGTTGTTGCACGTGTCAGTGCTTCATTTCTATTTACTGCTGAATATTTCATTGCACGAATAGACCACATATTATATATCCACTCGTCAGTCAATGGACATTTGAGTTATCTCCATTTTTGCCTATTATGAATAATGCTGCTATGCATATTCATGTACATCAGAACCCACTTTTTAAAAAAGGCTTTCTTTTTAAGAACAGTTTTAAATATATATTTCTTAATTAATTATTTTTTTAGAGAGAGAGAAAGGGAGAGGGAGAGAGAGATAGAAACATCGACGTGAGAGAGAACATCAATGGGCCGCCCCCTGCACGCCCCACACTGGGATCAAGCCTGCAATCCGGGCATGTGCCCTGACCGGGAATCAAATCGGTGACCTCTTGGTGCATGGGTCGACACTCAACCACTGAGCCACACCGGTGGGGCTTAAGAACAGTTTTAGGTTCACAGCAAAGTTGAACAGAAAGGGCAGAGTTTCCAAATACCCAGTGTCTCTCACATGCATGGCCTCCCCCACTATCACATCCCTTACCAGAGTGGTACACTTGTTACAGTCAATGAACCTCACAGACATGTCATCATCACCCAGAGTCCATAGTTTACCACAGGGTTCACTCTTGCTTGCTGTTAAGCATTCCATGGGTTTGGACTAACATATAGTGACATGTACCATCATTATAGTACATACAGAGTAGTTTCAATGCCTTAAAAATCCTGTGTTCTGCTCTCTCCTCACTAACTCCTGGAAACCTCTGATCTTTTTACTTCCTTCAGTTTTGCTTTTTAAAGAATGTCATATAGTTAGAATCATACAGCATGTAACCTTTCCAGACTGGCTTTTTTCATGTAGTGACATGCATTTAAGGAGTATACACTTTTCTTTTTAAAAGTTTTTTTTTTTTCTTTATTGATTTTAGAAAGAAAGGAAGGGAGAGGGAGAGAGAAACAGAAACATCAATGAGAGAGAACATCAATTGGCTGCCTCCTGCATGCCCCCCACTGGGGATTGGGCCCACAACCTGGGCATGTGCCCTGACTAGGAATTGAACCAGTGACCTCTTGGTGCATGGGTCGATGCTCAACCACTGAGCCACACCAGCTGGGCAAGGAAAACATATTTATATTCTTCACAAGTATTTCTACATGATTACTCTCTTTAGTGGAATGGCACAGAGGGAAGTGGCATCTGGGGCCAGGCATGAAATTAAACGATGAGCAGCTGTGTTAAGCCTACAGGAAATGTAAGCCAACAGGGGAAAAGTGAATTGAAGATGGTATGTTCCATTTATTTAATTAAAAACAAAGACAAAAAAATCTACACAAATGCAGTGCGGACTACCAGTGTGTGCCTCCTGTTTTATAAGCATTCAGTAGCAAAAAGCACCTAAACACACACACAAACACATACACACACGCCCACAATACACTACTGTGAGCCAAAGTCACAAAACTACAGATGATGTAAGTAATCTGAATCTTGGTGTGCTGGGCGGGCTCATCGGCCACCAGTAACCGCACTGTGACTTCTCACATACCGAACAGAAAAGAATAGTGAAAGTGCTTACGAAAAAAGAAAAGTCACCTACTTCCAAAAGGACACATGGTCTTATCTGACTTACGTTTGAAATAATGGCATCTTGTCAGATGGAAAAGAAAGTGCCGTGTCCAAGAACTTGCAAGCTGATAAATACAAGATGAGTTCACTCTGAGGTATCTCTCCCGTTGAGGGCCCATTTCCATCAGCGACTGAAACTTTCATTCTGTTCATTTTGTTGCTGTTTCTATAAATTTGCAAAGAAACTCTTGTTACAAACTCATGCACATCTGCTGCAGTCCATCTTCCTATGCCACGATAACAGAGTAAAATGCTGGGCCTCTCTGATTCCATCTTGTTCAAGGCAGCTTTGTTCCCATGGCCTTCAGGCAAACAGCTTCTTGCAGTACAGACTTGCTAATCATTAGAGGAATTCTGCTTGAGTTTTACAAAAACAAGCCTCCTTACCATCAATTGCCTTTCCCAGGAGATAAGGGAAGTAAGTATTGTTTACCAAAGATTAGCAGGAAACTTAGTCTGTTGACTAAGCACAATCTTCCTCTGACCCCAGGTGGTGCCTAAATGTCTTCGTTTGTCAATCACCTCTTGCCCCTCCCATTTCCCCTCTCTGTGACATAAAAGAAGCCAGAACTCTGTACTTTCTTAAGATAGATTTGAGGCAACACTAAGTCCCATCCTCTGTGTTGGCACCTTCTTGATCAATAAACCTTTCTTTACTCCGAACTCGGACATTTTTGGGTTTTGGCCTTACGAAGCACAAGTTAGGACTGCTAACAAAATGCCCATAAAAAAGTTTTTCTTTTTAAGAAATTATCAAAATAGGTGGCCCCTTCACAAGAACTTCAAAAAAGTTGTATTTAGTGGTATGTTAGATAACCCTACATCATAAAGTGATGCCCACTAACCTTCACACACATGTGCACAGACCCTTTACCTACGTACCTCAATGATTCGTCATCCTCTTTCAGATCTTCCTCAAGCTGTATGAATGTCTGAATCTTAAAAATAAAATGTGAATTCAAGTTACTATTTGAGAGAGACTGAATCTAGCTTAATGTTTAAAATGTCCATAAAAAATAGCAAATGAAGCCAAAGAAACAATCAATAAAATTAAAAGACAACCTATTGTTAAAGAGAAAACCACAGGTCCAAAATGGTGTCACTTGTGCTAAAGCCCATTACATCAAACTTAGATTTAATACCAGAAGTAACTGCAGTTTCAACCTCTTCAGAAAGCAAAGTGTAATCTAAATCAACCAGTCTGGAATTTTCTGGTCAACACCAATGAGGTAATCTGTCACAAGGGCCCTTAACATTTCCCAAAAGAGGCGGCGATCTGCTTAATAAAACCCTTCCCAATCTGTGTCCTGGAACCCTTTCTTTTTTCCTAATAGCTTCCTTGCCCCACCCTTCTTTTTTTTTCTAATCCTCACCCTGAGGATATTTTTCTATTTATCTTCAGACAGAGTGGGAGGGAGGGGGAGAGAGAGAAACATGAACATGAGAGAGACACACACGTCACTGGTTGCCTCCCACATGATCTGACCAGGGCCGGGAAGAACCGAAACCGAGGTACACGCCCTTGACTGGAATCGAACCCGACTCATTGGTCCACGGGTTGATGCTCTAACCACTAAGCAAAACTGGCCAGGGTGCCACCCTTATTTTCTATAAAAACCTTCCATTTCGCACAATCCCTCCACCTATGTACTATCAACTTGATAAGAGTTTCTATAGATAAGGTCATCCAGTTCTTCCTGGTGCAGGGAGGAAGACCCTTACAAATGGAGATTTCCCCTACAAATGTAAAGGCTTTTACAAAGGGTACCTTCTAATTGGTTTTCAAAAGCTTGTCTGCCGTTTCTTAAAATTAACTAGCCTAAAATAATAATGGTGTCAAATAGACATCCTTTGTAGTAACAAATTCTGTTCCCCTATTGACAATAGAGTGATGGATAAAGGGGATAGAGGGAAAAGTCTATAAATGGCACTCAGATGCTTACCCATCAGGCACCCTGAAAATTTTTTGGACCTATACATGCGTCATCTCAGAGGCCATGGAACAACTGGGCCAGGTGTCCAGCGTCATCCTCCGCAATGAGGCTGCTCTGGACAGCCACCCCTGGCCCCGGCAGGATGTGCACTCTAATCCGTTCTCCTGGTTGGCCCTGATAACACCAAGGGACTGAAATCCTAAACCACTCCGGACTGGATTTTTGCAGAACAGCATCCATGAGGTTTCTCGAGTGGCTGTGAACCAGATGTTGCTTCATCCCTACATGCGACTCCCAACTGAGCCGCTGGCCACCGACCTCCCTGACCAACGACACCCCTATCCAGCAGGAAGTAGCCAGACAGAAAGCGGTGCCCCTAACACAAAAGGTCGGAATGTAAGGCCAGCGAGCTCCGGGGAGTCACATGACTGGGAAGTCGCATGACCTGGAAATGAATGGTCAGAGGACAAATCGAAACCTAACTTGGGAGATTCCACCTTACCCCAATGTGGCTGAGGTGACACTCCTGGTCACATCCCACCACCCTTCCCAGCCAATCAACATATGCCACACCCGAATCTCCCCAGCAGCTAGCCCGGCACCTGACGCCACACCTAACCACACCTAATCACCCCACCCAGGTCCCTAAAGTCCCTATAAATCTTCCCTGGGGGAAAATAGCAGCGCGACTTCCCTCCCTGGCCCCGCCCATGGACCAGAGAACCTCGCCGCCGGGAACCTTCAGTGAAACTTTTGCCCGATGCCAATGAACACTGCTGTATGGCAAGGGAGAAACTGTTAAGAGAGGAAATCCTAAGAGTGCTCATTGCAAGGAAAAACTGTTTCTTTCTTTCCTTTTTGTATCTATATGAAATAACGGAGATTAACTGAATTTATTGTGGTAATCATTTCACAACATATGTAAGTCAAATTACTATGTTATACACCTTAAACTTATATATTGCTGTATGCCAATTATATCTCCAAAAACTGGAAATAACCAGCATGCTCTCCCTCTCAGGAGCATGCCCAGGCCTTTCTCCCCCACAGGCAGGCATCTCCTAGATTCTAGGGGTCCCTACGAGACTTGCAACCAGGGGAGTAACGAGCAGCGGCAGGTAGTCCCAGGCTCACCCCCTGAACCTGTCTCCAAAGCCCCCTTTTCTCTGACTTTCCAGAGAACAAGAGCAGCCCTGCCTAGGTCTCCTGTTGCTTCTTTTATCCTAATTCCTTCCTTGCTTCACCGTCCCCAGCTTTAATAAACATACTCTCTAAAAACAAAAAGAACCACTGGAAAAAAACATTTAAAAATAGCAAACAGTGATAGAAATGTACACTTGAAACCTATATGACCTTATTAACCAATGTCAGCCCAATAAATTAATAAAAAATAGGTATTGAAAAGTAAATAAAGCCCTGGCCGGTTTGGCTCCGCAGTTAGAGTGTCAGCCTGTGGACCAGAGAGTCTGGGTTTTGTTCCCGCGAAGGGCACATACCTCAGTTGCAGTTTGTTCCCGGCCCTGGTTGTGTGGGTGGCGACCAGTCAATGTGTCTCTCTCACATCGATGTTTATCTCTCTCTCTTTTTCCCTCTCTCCCTCCCTCTTTATCTGAAGATAAGTGCAAAAAAAAAAAGCAAATAAAAGAATAGTACAAGTTAATTGGAATAACTGATATTTGAGAATCAAATATGATTACAGGACAAGATAAAATAGTTTTTATTTAACCAAGAACTGACTAGTGCTACCAACTTGCCTGGAAATTTTGCAGATAAAATCATGCCACATAGTGACATTTGCTCAACCATGGACTGCATATACAAGTGTCCCATATGATTATCACGGGGCTGAAAAAGTCCTATCACCTAGTGACCTCATAGCTGGCATAATGTGGTAGCCCAGTGTGTCTGTGGAGATGCTGGTGTGAACCATCTTACTGCTCTGCCAGCTGTAAAAAGTATGGCACATACAATTACGGACAGTACAGAATACCTGATAATAATGATAAATGACTGTGTGTCTGGTTTATGCATTTACTATGCTATACCCTTTATCATTAGCATGTACTCGTCCTACATACAAAAAACAAGTTTGCTGTAAACTGTATGCTGTGTTATACTGGCAGCAGCGTCTCGTATTTACTGTGTCTCCTGATAGCATCATTTTTTTCTCTTGTGCATGATTTACTTTTGTATTGTTTGTAGAGTAACGTGCTGTACAGGCGTGTAGCCTGGGAGCAACAGACTACACGCAGCCGAGGTCTGTACCAGGCTATGCCTTCAGGCTTGTGTAAGTGCGTCTGTGATGTTCACACAACTATGAACTCGCCTAATGACTCATTTCTCAGAATGTATCCCCATTGTTAAGTAGCACATGACTGTACATGAAAAAGCATTTTTAAAAACTCCACTGGCCATGGCTGGTTTGGCTCAGAGGTTAGAGCGTCAGCCTGCAGACCAGAGTGACCCGGGTTTGGTTCCCACTAAGGGCACGTATTTCGGTTGCAGTTCGTCCCCGGCCCTGGTTGGGATTGTGTGGGTGGCAACCAGTCAGTGTGTCTCTCTCACGTCGATGTTTCTCTCTCTCTCTTCCTCCCTCTCTCTCTCCCTCTCTATCTGAAGATAAATGCAAATAAAATAAAATAAAATAAAATAAAATAAAACCTCCAACTTTGCTTTCAAGGGTAAAGTATTTGTACTTACTAATTCAGAGACCATTATTGGCCACAATGAAGTCAAATGCTGGGGAGATATTCTTAGCAGCAAAACTCTAAAAAAAAGGAACATCTGAGCAGCAACTAGGGATGTCCGTCCAACTCTGAGATTGTCTGTTAGGCGTTCTAAGGAAAGAAGATTTTAAAGATGTCAGTTTAGGGTTGCTCACAGACAAAAGAAAAATATAAAACTGTCATTGCTTTGACATATCATAACACCCAATATAAGCAATGGGTGTTGGGGGATGTTTCTGTGCCCTAGTCTAACCCAGCCCCGTCTTTGTTCATGGCTTTTGCTGGAGGAAGTGAGTCAGGTGGTTCTCCTTCCCCTGCCACAGCTGAGGAGAAAGGCATGAACTTTGACTCAAGTCACAAATCCATTGGGTGATCAATGACCACCTAAAGTTTCTTCTAAGAATATCAAATATGAGGCACAGAAACCAAGGACCGTCCTTGATGAATGATGGGACCATAAGGCCATATAGAGTGATGGGCAGATGACACCATATTTTGGTGGTGAGAAGTAGGAAGTGGAATGAATGAATACAATAGATATATTCAATCAGGTTTATATTTGATGGCCATGACAAAAACTTTAATTCCTACAGGGAAAAAAATACTGTGAGTTAAACTCTGTTAGCCCCTAACAGCCACTTGTCTACTGAAGTCACTGTTGGTAAAGAGTCACTGCAGCACATTAGTAATGAACTTCTCTTTATTTGAGCCAGATTCATTGGGTGTTTGCTTCTTGCCTTTACAAGTACACTGACACATGAAGGATCCTGCACACTCAGATACTTGAGACACGCTGGCATTTTTCAAGACTGGTTTCTGTTTCTGGTTCTAGACAAGATGGAATAAGTATATTATATCCTATTTCTCTAGTGGAAATTAAAACAAAAACAAAGACATCCTTAAACAAAATACATAAAGCAACTATCAGAAAACTGAAAGGTGGCCCTGGCCAGTTTGGCTCAGCGGTCAGAGCGTCAGCGTAGGGTCCAGAGAAACCCAGGTTCGGTTCCCGCTAAGAGCACATACCTCGGTTACAGTTTGTCCCCGGCCCTGGTTGGGTCGTGCGGGAGGCAGCCACTCGATGTGTCCCTTTCACATCGATGTTTCTCTCTCTCTCTCTCTTCCTCCCTCTCCCTTCCACTCTATCTGAAAGAAAAAAAAAAAAAAATGGAAAAATGTCCTCGGGTGAGGATAAAAAAAAAAAAGAAAACTGAAGGTGAAGGACAGGTAGCAGGAGTGGCTAGGAACTTGGGGCCTTTGACCTGGAGGTGAGGTTCCTGGGGTTGTTAAAAAATATATATTTGATGTTTCAATTTCATGCCGGCCTCGGCATCTGAGAAGACTATAACCTAGAATGCCAAAATCCCAACTAGAATGTGAAATGATAACCAAAAGACACCAATGCAGAGATACTACAAAGGTTGGATTAGAAAGGATTTTAAAGCTGCTGTCTAAAAATATTCCAATAATCAATTACAAACAGCTGAAACAAACAAAAAAATAGAAAGTCTCAACAAAAAAATAGAAGATACAAAAAAGAACTAGCCTTCGCCTGCTCAGTGGTTAGAGCATCAGCCTGCGGTCCAGAGAGACCCAGGTTCGGTTCCTGCTAAGGGCACGTACCTTGGTTGCAGTTTGCCCCTGGCCTGCTTGGGTTGTGTGAGAGGCAACCACTTGATGTGTCCCTTTCATGTCAATGTTTCTCTCTTGCTCTCTCTTCCTCTCTCTCCTTCCCACACTATCTGAACAAAAAATGGAAAAGTGTCCTCGGGTGAGGATTAAAAAAACAAAAGAGAACGAAATGGAAATTTTAGAACTCAAAAATATAACCACTGAAAACAGAAAAGCTCACTGAAAAGCCCATGGGCAGAATGGAGATGACAGAAAAGAGGGAAGGTGAAGACAGAATCAATGGGAATTACTGAAACTGAAGAGAAAAAAAGATTGGGAAAAATTAATTATAATTCCTAATATACCAATAATTACATCAGATGTAAACTTGTCTAAACACACCAATTAAAGAGATTGATGGAATGGATTAAACTAAAATGAACCAATTATATGTTATCTTACACAAAACTCACTTCAAATATAACAGAAGTAGGTTAAAGGTGAAAGGATCGAAAAAGATACACTATGCAAACATTTTAAGAAAACTGCAGTGGCTCTACTAATATACGACAACATAGACTTCAGAGCAAAGACAAGGGCTAGGGTCAAAGAGGGGTATTACATAGTGGTAAAAAGGTCAATTCAACAAGAAAACGTAGTAACATTAAATGCACCAAATAACAGAAGTGCTACATAAAATAGGAACTGCCAGTGCTCAAAGGAGAACAAGCACCAAAAACTACAGTTGGAACTTCAACATCCCTACCCCATAACTGATAGAACTCCCAGGAAAAATGTTGGTAAGGATATAGGAGGGGTAAGCAATACAACACCCCCTAACAGGATCTGGTTCACATTACAGGACACTCCACTCAACAGCAGCACAATACATACTCATTAAGAGTTCATGGAACATTCACCAAGACAGACTGTATCATGGGCCATAGAACAAACTTTGATAACTAAATCCTACAAAAAATGTGCTCTGACCATATGGCATCAAACTAGAAATTAATAACAGAAAGATAATAGGAAAATCCTCCAAACACTAGGACACTAACAAACTTCTCAATATGACACAGGTTAAAGAGGAAGTCTCGAAGGAAATAAAAACAAATATGAAGAAATGCATGAAAATAAAAATGCAACACATCAGAATTTGTGGGACACAGTTAAAGTATTGCTGAGAGGGAAATGTACAGCACAAAATGCTTACATTATAAAAGAAGAAAAGACTCTAATCTATAATTTAAGCCTCCACCTCAAGAGGCTAGAAAAAGAACAAAATAAACCCAAAGTGAGTATAAACAAGGAAGAGCAGAAACAAATGAAATTGAAAACAAAAAACAATAGAGAAAAATCAAACTAAAAGTTGATGATTTGAAAAGAACAGTAAAACTGATAAACCTCCAGCAAGATTGACAAATAACGAGAGAAGGCACACATCAGTCAGGAATAAAAGAAAGGACATCTCTATAGACCCTACAGACAATCGAAAGGATAAAGAGCCCTGGCCGGTTTGGCTCAGAGGTTATTAGAGCATCGGCCTACGGCCCAGAGAGACCCTGGTTCGGTTCCCGCTAAGAGCACGTACCTCAGTTGCAGTTTGTCCCGGCCCTGGTTGGGTCGTGCGGGAGGCAGCCACTTTATGTGTCCCTTTCACATTAATGTTTCTCTCTCTCCCTCCCACTCTATCTGAACAAAAAAAATGGAAAAATGTCCTCGGTGAGGATAAACATAATAATAATAATGACATTTGAATTATTGTTTACATGGGAATACAAAATGGTATACCCAGTCTAGAAGGCAGTTTCATACAAAGTTAAATGTGTCTTTACTATAGCACCCAGTAAGCACACCCTTGTGTTCATCCTAGAGAAATGACAGCCATGTCCACATAAAAATGTATACATGAATGTTTATCAATGAGGCGTAATTTGTAATAACTAAAAACTGGAAACAGCCCTGGCCAGCATGGCTGGGTGGCTAGAGTGTCAGCCTGGGCACTGGAGGGTCGTTGGTTCGATTCCTGATCAAGGCCATGTTCCTGGTCAGGGCACGTGTGGAGACAACCAATTGATGTGTTTCTCTCACATTGATGTTTCTCTCCTCTCCCTTCTCCCCTCCCTTCTACTCTCTCTAAAAAATCAGTGGAAAAAATATCCTCCAGAGAGGATTAAAAAAAACACCAAAAAACAAAAACAAAAACCTGGAAACAACCCAAACATCTATCAGATAAATAGGTAAAGGAACTGTAGTATATCCATAAAATGAAACAATAATTATCCATTTAAAGAAGGATCAAATTCTTGCCCAGCTGGAGTGGCTCAGTGGTTGAGCATCAACCCATGCACCAAGAGGTGGTCGGTTCGATTCCCAGTCAGGGCACATGCCCAGGTTGTGGGCACAATCCCATTGGGGAGCATGCAGGAGGCGTCCGATCAATGTTCTTGCTCATCAGTATTTCTATCTCCCTCTCCCTCTCCCTTCCTCTCTCTCTCTAAAATCAATAAAGAAAAAAATTTTTTTTTTTAAAAAAGGATCAAATTCTTGATGCACTCAGGGATATCTCCCCACTAGCCTTTGGATGGACTCAAAGGAACTGTACTAAATGAAAAAAGCTAATCTCAAAGGTTACATTGTATATGATTCTATTTATGTAACATTTTCAAAGTGAGAGAATTAAAGTGATGGAGAACAGTCGGGTCAGTGTGGCTCAGTGGTTGTGCATTGAGGTCACCGGTTTGATCCCTGGTCAGGGCACATGCCCAGGTTGTGGACCAAATCCCCAGTAGGGGGCATACAGGAGGCAGCCAATCGATGTTCTCTCTCATCAGTGTTTCTCTCTCTCTCTCCCTCTCCCTTCCTCTCTAAATCAATAAAGGGAAAAATAATTTTAATAATAAATAGAGAACACATCAGTGATTGCCTGGGGTTAGGGTTGGGTGGAGGGGTGACGACAGAGGCAGTGACATGAAGGAGTTGCCTTGTGGGGATGGTCGAGTTCAGTATCCCAGTTATGGTGCTGACTACAGGAATTTGTATATGTGATAACTTTCATACAACTAGATACACACACAAACACACAAAAAGAGGGCACATAAAAACCAGTGAAATCTGAAAAAGTCTCTGGTTGAGTTATGGTGATACCCTCACCCATGTCAATGTCCTAGTTTTCCTAACGGGCTATGCTAATGAGAGATGTCATCACAGGGAAGCTGGACGGAAGCACACGGGAACAATCGTACCATTTGTGCAACTTCCTGTGAGTCTGAATCTATTTCAAAATAGAAAGTACTGTTTTAAAAGTGGTCTGTACACGTATAGCAGCACATTGTTACTCCAAATAAAGCTAAAGTCATGAGATCTTCTTTAGCCAAGATAATCTATTTTAGAATCCCTAATTTTCCTCAATCTCTAATTTTCCTTCCTTAGCTGAGTGATAAACTTTACAAATTAAGGAGTCTTTGTGAGCAGAGAGCTGGAGACCACGCCGAGCCAGAATCCCAGCACATGGTTCCAGGTTTCAGAACCTGGTTTAAACTCGCTGTGCCTGGGTTTCCCACCTGCTCCACCTGCCTCAAAGGGCACCTACTGAAGATCACACCTGTCGCTGGGGCCCAGGGCCCAGCTTTCAGTCCAGGTTTTGCCAGTTAGAGGCAACTCAACCATAAGCAGGTGCTAATCTCAGAGTATCTGTATCCTGATGTGGAAATTGGGCTGATACGTGCAGGAACAGGAGGGAGACTTAGCAGATGGTAAGTACTCCAGTGGACCTGGGGAGCCAGACTCACGCAGCTCAAAGGGGACAGTGCTGTCTCCAGATCTTTCTGGTCTCTGATCAGGGGGCTTTATGGGGGATGAATGCCCTTCTTCTCATTTTAGACAAACAGCATTTTGCTCTTTTCCTTTAAAAAAAATTGCTTTGGGCTTATTTATAGCTCCTTTTGTGATAAATGTAAAATTTATGTCCCTCTGATCCAAGATGCACGGAGCTGCTGAGGTTCCCTCCCCATGCACACCAACCTTATTCAGAGAGAAACTCCTCCTCCACGAAGACCCCCAAACCCGCCTCCTATTGAAGTCAGCATTATGCCAATTTTATTTTATACGCACATGTATAAATATACATTACATATGTTATAGGTACAAATAGAGTATCTAATGTAAATAATGTCATACTGCTCCCGCTTCTCTCTCCCTTTCCAAGACATGATTTCTCAGAACCGCTGGGTGTTTAAACCCTGCCAGGGTCAACTCCTCCATGACTATTTGAGAAAGGCTGTTGTCTGTTCTGTTCTTGTTTCATTCACCCCCATACTCTTTCTTTAGCTCTCTGGGCCTCACCCCAAAGTTCAGAGGCGTCTGTGATGGGAGATAGGGAGAGAAGGAACAGTCATCTGCTCTCAGAGATACCCTGCCCGACACCCCCTCCTGCTTCCCTCCTCTACCGAGAGCAAACTTCCCGCTGCACTTCGGACACGCAGCACCGCCAGGTGCTGCCCGTGAACTCGGGACACGGTGCCCTCGTTTTCTCCCTGCGTGCGGTGCAGGAAGGCGACCACGTTCCGCTTAGACTCTGCTTTCAGCTCCTCTAGAGGGCTGCTGTCGCCCTCACTGCCTCACTGGCATTCCCAGGCACCCCTGGTCGAACCGCCTCCTGCCAGCAACTCAAGAAAGGCTCTGTCCATGACCGTCAGAACATTTGCTTTTCCCGATCTAAGGTATTCAAGACATGATGATGTAAAATCTCCCTCTGTGCTTTCTGTGTTGAAATCATGTCGGTTGAAGTATAAAGCTATTTTACTATGGCAAATATAAAATATCATATTAATAACTGTGAAAGCTGTTAATCTTTTGCTCTAAAACAGTAAGTCCTTTCAAATAGTTAATTAAATAGGGAAGCGGCTGACCACAGCACTACTATACGTAGTCATCGAGATGATTTTAAGAAGAGCACATACACCCCGGCCGGTTTGGCTCAGCAGTTGGAGTGTGGGCCTGTGGACCAGAGAGTCCAGGGTTCGGTTCCTGCTAGGGGCACACACCAAAAAAAAAAAAAAGCACATGCTCTGTCAGCTGACAGATAGTTGTAACAATATTTTTAAAAGGCAGAGTTAGAGGTTTATATAAAAATTCTACCTGGAAACAACCCAAACACCCTTCCATTGGTGAGCTGGTAAACAAACCACAGAATGGAATGTTATTCGGTAGTAAAAAGAAATAGCTATTGATGAATACAACCGGATAGATGACTCTCAAAGACTTTATGCCTAGTCAAGAAGTCAGACTCAAAGGCTACACACTCTCTAATTACGTATAGGTAACATTCTGGAAAAGATGAAATCCTATGGACAGAAACAGTTTTGTGGTTGCCAGGGGCTGGGGTCGGGGGAGGGGATCACTGCTAAGGGGCATGAGGAAACTTTGGGGTGATGGAAATGTTTGTTGTCTTTACTGTGCTGGTTATATGATTATGTTTGTAAAAATTCACAGAACTGTATAACCAAAGGTGACTTTCATTGTATGTAAATTATACCTTAATAACCTGACCCCCCAAAAAAGAGATATACACCATAATTCTAATATTTATAAAATTGTTTTATACTAGTCTTCATAATAGCAAACAAAAAAATCCTTCAAGAATTGTATTTGGTTCCGTATAGGCTATGAGTCTTAAGGAAAACACATTCCTACTTGAGAATTCTTTCATATCTGGAGAGGTTGAATTAAAACAGAATGTCCACTCTGCCACAATAATATTTTATAAGGATGAAAGAAAAACTTCAAAATTATGTACAATATCCACAATAACTCCTTTTTGAGGTAGACAAACAATATCGTGAGTGTGGAGAAGAGAAAAAAGTGTTACAAAAAATGAGGTGCTTCTCCAAAATATTGCTTGTTCACTGGCCACAGCATTGTAAACTTGAAGTATCTTGACTACAGGAGGAATCCAGCAAGACAGTGCTGAGAAAGTATATTCTCAGACTTTAAAAACAACCCAATCAAAACTAACAGCATAATCATTGATTTTTAAAATGAGGTTTCTGGTTTACTGACAGTTTCTGAATTTCTTCTACAATAACCCCTGCTGAGTAGGCAGTTTAATTCCTCCAGACACGCTGGGGCCCCTCTGGCAGCCAGCCCCCTCAGCCACTGGTCTGGGTAGTCAGCCTGGGTGGGGGTGGGGCACTGGCCTTCTTACCTTGTATCAGAGGAAGGTAAAGGTGGTACTGATCCAGTTCGCCACTGAAGACAGCAAAAGCCTGGCGCTTTAGCAGCATGGCTTTCTGCTCCAAACTTGAGAACAGTTTTAAGGAACTGCTCTGCATGCCTAGAATAAAAGGAAATAAGTTCCATTTAGTGAGAAAACCACAATTAGAGTGACAGGCAATTCATAACTAGTGTAATTCTTACCTTCCCTGGTAAAAAACCAAGATCTTGATTAAAGTAAAGGCATGTGGTAATTATTTGCATATTTATCTGTAAAAATACTTCCTTTTTAAAAAAAAAAATCCTCACCTGAAGATATGTTTTTCCTTTGATTTTCAGAGAGAATGGAAGGGAGGGAGGGAGTAGGGGGTGGGGGGGAGAGACGTCAATGTGAGAGAGACACATCAATTGGTTGCCTTTGGCATGTGTCCCAACGAGGGCTGGGGACTGAATCTGCAACCCAGATACATGCCTTTGACCAGAATCGAACCCACGATCCTTTGGTCCACAGGCTGACACCCTAACCGCTGAGTCAAACTGGCCAGAGCAAAATACTTATTTCTTTTTTTTTTATCCTCACCCAAGGACACTTTTGCATTCATCTTCAGATAGAGTGAGAGGGAGAGAGGGAGGAAGAGAGAGAGAGAAACATCGACTGGTTGCCACCCACACAACCCCAACTGGGGTTGGGGACAAACTGCAACCGAGGTACATGCCCTTAGTAGGGACCAAACCTGGGTCTCTCTGGTCCATGGGCTGAAGCTCTAACCGCTGAACCAAACCGGCCAGGGCAATACTTATTTCTTTAACGATAAGGGATTAGAAAACGATATGAGGTATAGAAAAGTACTCCTTCCATACTACTCAGGGCAATCTACAGATTCAGTGCAATCCTTATTAAAGTACCAACGGCATTTCACAGATCTAGAACGCTCCAAAAGTTTATGTGGAACAATAAAAGACACTGAATAGCCATAGCAATTTTGAAAAAGAAGAACAAAGTGGGAGGGATTAAAATACCAGATATCAGGTTATACTACAAAGCCACTGTAATAAAAACAGCCTGGTACTGGCACAAGGACAGGCATATATATAGATCAATGGAACAGAACAGAGAACCTAGATATTGACCCAAGACATTATGCTCAATTAATATTCGACAAAGGAGGCAAGAGCATACAATGGAGAAAAGACAGTCTCTTCAATAAATGGTGCTGTGAAAATTGGACAGCTATATGCAAAAAAAATGAAACTAGACCACCAACTTACACCATACACAAGAATAAACTCAAAATGGATAAAAGCCTTAAATGTAACCCGTGAAATCACAAAAACCCTAGAAGAAAAACAGGCAAAAAATTCTCAGACATCATATGTAGTAGAATTTTCACTGATACATCACTTAGGGCAAGAGAAACAAAGGAAAAAATTAATAAATGGGACTACATCAAACTTAAAAGTTTCTGCATAGCAAAAGAAACCAGAATCAAAATGAAAAGAGAACCCATTCTCTGGGAGAACATATTTGCCAACAAAACATGGGATAAGGGGTTAATATCCAAAATATATAGAGTACTCATACAACTCAACAAAAGGAGAACAAACAATCCGATTAAAAAATGGGCGGAGGACCTGAATAGACACTTCTCCAAACAGGACACACAAAAGGCCAGGAGACATATGAAAAAATGCTCATTATCTCTAATCATCAGAGAGATGCAAATTAAAACGATGATAAGATATCACCTCACACCTGCCAGAATGGTGGCCATCAACAAATCCTCAAACAACAAATGCTGGCAAGGATGTGGAGAAATAGGGGACTCTAGTACACTGCTGGTGGAATGCAGACTGGTGCAGACACTATGGAAAACGATATGGTGTTTCCTCAAAAAATTAAAAATGGGACTGCCATTTGACCCAGTGATCCCACTTCTTGGAATATATCCTAAGAAGCCTGAAATACCAATCAGGAAGAAGATATGTACCCCCATGTTCACAGCAGCACTATTTACAATAGCTAAGATGTGGAAACAGCCCAAGTGCCCATCAGTAGATGAATGGATAAAAAAGCTGTGATACATGTACACAATGGAATACTATGCAGCTGTAAGAGAGATCTCTTACCCTTTGAGATGACATGGAGGGACCTGGAAAGTATTATGCTAAATAAAATAAGCCAGTCAGAGAAAGACAAGTTCCACATGATCTCATTTATTTGTGGAATATAATGAACAAAATAAGCTGATGCCCAAGAGAGATTCAGAATCATGGAAGTAGGGAACAGACTGACAAACCTCAGAGAGATCGGGGATGTGAGGGGAGGGAAGAGATAAACCAAAGAACTTATATGCATATGGGCACAACCAATCCACACGGACACTAGGCTAGAGAAGACAGGACAGGGGTGGGAGTGGGAAGGAGGGGGTCAAAGTGGAAAAAAAGGGGGACATCTATAATACTCTCAACAATTAAAAGAAAAGTACTCCTAATAAATTATGGTAAACTTATCATACTTTTCAAAAGTTTTTCTCCTAGGACCTGGCTGGGTGCTCAGTTGGCTGGAGCATTGTTCCAATAAACCAAGGTTTTGGGTTCCATCCCCAGTCAGGGCACATACAGGAACCAACCAATGAGTCCATAAATGAGTGGAACAACAGGTCAACGTCTCTCTCTATACATACATAAAATCAATCAGTAAGTACAAATTTAAAAAATTAAATTAAAAAGAAAAAAAACATTTTTCCTTCACAATAAAGCTGTAGAAATGCTTAATAAGACATCTTGTCAACAGACTGGACTGGAAAGGCTCACTCACGTAGTCCTAACATATGACGCCCATCACATTACAGCGTGCAGTTAGATGGCACCATGAAGGTTCAGGAGGGACTGGAGTGGGCAAAGCTGACCATGGTGGTGCTGGTCCCTTAAAGTGTGACTTATGTGCAAGGAACACAGAACTTACTCATTAAATCTTTGAACATTGTTTTCTCATGAGTCAGAAGATGGTCAATAATGGCCTTCCAACTGGATAGTAAAAAAAGCAAAATTAGTTAAACATGCAAAAAATGACAGTCTGATGAAAAGCATTAAGAAAAAACATGCCCCTTTAAGATCTATTAAAAACTACTTTTTTAAAATGTAAAGTTAATAAATTTTTATTTAAGAAATTCACATTCTGAGTCCTTCCAATGCCTTAGTTCCTCCTGAGTCTGACTCTCAATCCCTTTTTTGTTCAATCCATTGTCATGTCAGTCAGTCCACAATTCTTTTAGTTGAGCTTCTTTGATCTATACTTGAATAGGGACATACTTAAAAAATTCCCCACCTATAATCATTGGGACCCAACTTCCTCAAGCAATTTACTTTAGAGCCACGATTAGGGTCCAAGTAGATGGATCTGCCTGGTTTCTCAATTTCAGACACCCTCTAAACATAAGTAAGTTCAAATCACATTCACTCCTAAGCTCTTACTCCCTAGAATAGTATAGATCTTTGGGATATACAAATACAAATACCTAAGATAAAAAAAATTAGATTATGAGGTCTTCCCTAGTTTTTTTTTTTAATAATTTTTTTTTTTTGCATTTATTTTCAGATAGAGTGGGAGGGAGAGGGAGGAAGAGAGAGAAACATCGATGTGAGAGAGACACATTGAGTGGCTGCCACCTACACGACCCCAAACGGGGCTGAGAACACACTGCACTGAGGTACATGCCCTTAGCGGGAACCAAACCTGGGCCTCTCTGGTCCGCGGGATGACGCTCTAACCGCTGAGCCAAACTGGCCAGGGTTTTTTTTTTTTTAATAATTTTTTTTTTTTGCATTTATTTTCAGATAGAGCGGGAGAGAGAGAGGGAGGAAGAGAGAGAGAGAAACATTGATGTGAGAGAAACACACTGAGTGAGGTCTTCCCTAGTTTTAGCAGTTCTGTCTTGTAGTTCCTTCCCACAGATCTAACACATAGTTCTGTGAATAAGGGAAGCAACATATTTACTCTACAAGGCATTTCTTACAATGTAAGTCTACAGAAAAAGGCCCATTGGGATAGACCTCAACTAAAAACTACTTTTTGAAAAGTTACTGAAATGAGTAATTTTTTTTTAATCCTCACCCAAGTACATTTTTCCATTTTTTGTACAGATAGAGGAGGAGGGAGAGGGAGAGGGAGGGAGAGAGAGAGAGAGAGAGAGAGAGAGAGAGAGAGAGAGAGAGAAACATCGACGTGAAAAGGACACATCGAGTGGCTGCCACCCACACAACCCAACCAGGGCCGGGGACAAACTGTGCCCTTAGCGGAAACGGAACCCGGGTCTCTCTGGACTGCAGGTCGATGCTCTAACCGTTGAGCCAAACTGGCCAGGGTGAAATGAATAATTTTTATGTAAGGGAAAGTTATGCAAAAAGTTTTCATTTATAACTGTAATGGAGGGAATAAATAATGGAAAGACTCTGACTGATGTGGCTCAGTGGATTGAGCATCCACCCATGCACCAAGAGGTCGCCGGTTCAATTTTCAGTCAGGGAACATGCCCAGGTTGTGGGCCAAATCCCCAGTGGGGGACATGCAAGAGGCGGCCAATCGATGTTCTCTCTCATCGATGTTTCTATCTCTCTCTCCCTCTCCCTCTAAAATCAATAAAGAATATTAAAAAAAAAAAAAGGACCTTGAAGGATATGTAGAACTTAAAAAATAATAATAATGGAAAGAGTAACACAGGGAATCACAAGTGAGCCCCAGCTCACCAAAACAGAAAACAAAGGGTTGCCCTTAAACACATTCACACGGGATAATGTTCACCCACTTGAGCTGATGGGAAGAAAAGGGGAGCAGTGAAGACAAATACGAGCCTTCCAAGGGGCTCCCCCAGAAGGAAACAGGGTTATAGGATCTCTGAGAGCCACTGGGCTCTAGTGGTGGCAGGGCGGACTTCCAGGCCACACAAAGAGCTGACCAATCCCATCCTCTATTCCTGCAGTTAATAAAGACATGTTTAGCCATGCCATGAGGACAGTCACCGGGTGGTTTTGTTGACCTCCAAGAAATAGGCACAGAAGTTCACCTTGCAGCTGTATGTCAGCTGTATCTCGGCTGCCAGCGCAGGGCCTGGCTGGCTGCAAGGTCTCAGTAAGAACTCATGCGTATGAGCTGGGAAGTGGGACAAGGACACAGCAGTGTCAAAAATTCCGTGATTACAAGAGAAAGCAGCACAAGACCGAGAACCGCTGGGACCCCGTAGTAAGCTCTGTAGGAATCATGTGCTCTCTTAATTGAAATTCTTTTGATTAAAAAAAGCACCTTAGCATTTTTAAAAGACTGAATTCCTTTCCCATGAATACACAGTTAACCCTGGGGTTTGTGACAGAGATGTTCTATGATTTAGGTTGATGCTAACTCTGGTGCTGTTTCAGGTATGAAAATTACTGATGTACGGCGAAACACTTTTTCCCATTGGAGATTCAGGGAACGTTTTATCAGGACAGCGTTTCTTACTGTACACAAGATGTGTCCATCTGAAAGAAGGCAGGGTCCAAGAACAGCTCCAGGACTTCCTTCTTCCAGGCTCGTTTCGTATAGGCATAACCGCTCAGAGAGCTCAGCAACTGAGTGCTGGCCCGGAAGCTGGGGGCATTGTAGGCACTAAACGGGGTGGAAAGAGAGGGTCAAGGTCAGAGACTGCCCAAGGAAAGCTCCTAGACGCATTTCCCATAACCTGCTGTCCCGACTGTACATGTGGGATACAATGGGGAGACGGTACCTGTGATTGCGTAAGTAAGGAAACACGTAATAAAGCAGGCGGGAGATCAACGGCACAGCTTTCTCCTTCTCATCACTCCGATACACCATGTCCAGGAGAGATGCCAGAACCTAGGACAGGATCGCAAGAAAACACAAATCTTGTGAACCAAGTGAAGGTGGGAAATTTAGTCCTCAAGGTATATGTAACCTAACAGGAAACGCCACGGTGCAGCCCACACTCACTGGCACCTGGGAAGACACGCCTTCCCAAAGACTCAGGATGCAATCCCTTGTACGGGAGGACAGTCGGGTGTGGACTCACCTCTGCCAGGAGGGAGAGGGCTTGCACACTGTACATGGATGGGGCAGACGCAGACACCATGGCTGAAGCAGCGGCAGCAGCATCTGCTAACGAAAGAGCATCTGTGTTGTCACCATGGACAGGTCACCACTTATGCCCTTGTGAACGCGTCATGAGATCCCATCTTTCATACTGATTATGCATATGGATGTAATTTAGGTGTTCTTCTGTGTTAACATGCTTAATTTCAGCAACTAAAAATCTGTATATTTTGACCAAATAAATTAGCACTGACTCACTGTCTTCTTCCTCACATTTCTAGTATCATCATCATTCTTGGAACTTCAACCTTCCCTTGGATGATCTAACATCCTGTCCTCTGAGCCCTCTGACCTTTCCTCTTCCAACAATCTTTCACACTGCTCCAGCTCAGCCACCCACTGTCACCATCATACCCTTGGCCTCACCAATGTCCAAAGTCTCCATTTCCAGCATCTTGGTAGAACATCTTTTTATCTTTCCTGCTCACTTACTCCTGGAGCCCCACCCTGGCAATTCCTGAATCCTTGTACAGGCTCCAGTCTCTGAGTCTACCCATCAGCTCCCCCGGGTTTCCACTGCTCTGCCTCCCCACCTACACCCCGTGGCCTACTGGCGACCTCTCAAACATCCTTAGCTCTCTTGCTTCTCTCCCCTCGAGGTTCTCACCTGCAAGGCTGGCTGACCTCCAGGATCTGTCTAGGTAGCGTGATGTAGCTAAATGCTCTGAAACTGATCCTGGTGTATTTCATGAGCATGAAATCTCAAAAGAGACCCAGTACTACCAGGTAACCCACCACATATTCCTCAGCGGTATGCTCCTTATCCCTCGGCAACGTAACTCTTTCACACGCTCTCTCAACAGCCTGCTATCACTGCCCCTCCTTCTCAACTGATAACCCCACTTCATACTTCACGGAGAAAATTACTGCAATTAAGTGGGAACGCCCTTGGTTTGACCACCATGAGTTAACTTAGAACATTCACATCCGTGTTCTCTGCCTTGTCTCTGGTTTTACTAGACATGTCCCTGGCTCCTATCAGAGAGCAGTAATTCCATTTCTGATGTTCATCCCAGCTCTGTGGCCACCATGGGCTTTGCTTTCTAATTATCCTTTCTCTCTCTGGTATAAATTGCTTCCTCTTAGATGCACTGTTCCATCACCACACAAATATGCTCTGTCATACTCCAATTTATTTATTTTTATTATTATTTTTTAATCCTCACCCGAGGATATTTTTACATTTATCTTCAGATGGGGGGGGGGGGAAACTTCGATGTGAGAGAGACACATTGACTGGTTGCCATCTGCATGATCCCAACCCTGGCCAGAGACAAACCGCAACTGAGGTACATGCCCTTAACTGTAATCGAACCTGGGACTCTTTGGTCCACAGGCTGATGCTCTAACCGCTAAGCCAAACTGGCCAGGGCTGTCATACGCTAATTTAAAAATAAAGTCAAAACAAGGCCCTAGCTGGGAAGCTCGTTGGTTGGAGCATCATCCCTATACACTAGGGTGGGGACATCAGCCCGCAGGCCAACCAATACCAGCTGACATCACACACCTCACCACAGAGAAGCAGTTCCAGCCATCATGTTACAGGTGAGTTAATTATACGTTTGACCAAATGTAGCAGGCTAATTTTTAAGTTGATTATTTTGTATGACCCACGAATGATGTTATAAATATCCAAATGGCCCTTGGCAGAAAAAGGCTCCCCATCCTTGCTATACACTAAGGTTGTGGGTTCAATTCCTGGTCAGGGCACATACAACAAGCAACCAATGAATCCTTTTCTCTCTTTAAAATCAATTTAAAAAAATTAAAAATAAACTCAAAATGATAAAAGATGTTCTTTGGTCCTCAGCTCTCCTTGGTTATTGCCCTACTGACAAATGAGCTTCAAGGAGTTATGTGCAGACACCGACTCCTGTCCCTCGTCCCCTTCCTCATCCCCACCCACTCCTCTCCAGCGTTCGTCCCCCGTGACTGCCACACTGTCAGGTAAGGACAGCGGGTCTCTGTCCTTCCTTTACTTCTCCACAGCCTCCCACTGTGCTCCTCCCCCTCCTTCTCGAAACACTCTTCTCAGAGTTTCCCGGACTCGGTGTTCTTGGTGTTTCTCCCACCCCAGGGAACGCGTGTCTCTTCTGGCTCCTTTCTTTCCAGACATCTCCAGTGTAATCTGTGCAGAACCAGGCTCAAATTCCCTGTCCAAACGTTCCTGCCTCAATCAGCTCCACCTAAATAAGTTGCTTGAGCCAAAAACCTAATTCATCCTTGATTGACCTTTTTGTTTAACCACCACCTGCAACCCATCAGCAAATGTTGACTCTGTATTTCCCTATCGCTTTGGCCTCCAAGCCAACATCCTTTCTTGCCCAAACCACTGCAAAATCCTTTTAATTGGAGTTCTAGTTTCTGCCCTCATTTCATATAGCCAGTATTGCCCAAGTGATGTTTTCTGAAGACTGAACAAGATCCTGTCACCGCTCTAGACACTTGAATGGCTTCCCACAGCAAGTGGGATGCCATCCAAGCTGGTAACCACGCGCTACATCAGGCCCGACGACCTTCAGCCTCCACTCTCCCCGGACCTCTTCAACCAGCCAGCAAGCTCCCACCACACCGGTCTTCAGTTTCCTGGTCAAGCCCACTCCCGCCTCCAGGACTTGCCATCCCCTCTGGGCAGTGCCCTTCCAAGTCTTTGCATGCCTGCCCCTCATCTTTCTTTCTTCTTCTTCTTCTTTTTAATCCTCACCCGAGGACATTTTTCCATTTTTTGTTCAGATAGAGTGGGAGGGAGAGAGAGAGAGAGAGAAACATCGATGTGAGAGAGACACATCGAGTGGTCACCACCCACACAACCCAACCAGGGCTGGGGGCAAACTGCAACCGAGGCACGTGCCCTTAGCAGGAACCGAACTCAGGTCTCTCAGGACCGCAGGCCGACGCTCTAACTGCTGAGCCAAACTGGCCAGGGTTCTTTCATTTTTAAAAAAATCCTCACCCGAGGATATTTTTTCCATTTATCTTCAGATAGAGTGGAAGGGAGGGAGAAGGAGGGGGAGAGGGGGCAGAGAGAGAGAGAGAAACATCAATTGGAGAGAGACACGTGGATCAGCTTCCTCCCACGTGACCCTGACCGGGGCCATGAACCAAACCACAACCAAGGTACATGCCTTAGACCAAAGTCGAACCCAAAACTCTTCGGTCCGTGGGTCAATGCTCTAACCTCTGAGCCAAACGGGCCAGGACTGCCCCCCATCTTTCTTAGGGACATGTTCTGCACCATCTCAAGTGGCCCCTGCTTCCCTCCCAGTCACTATTTATAACATTACTTTCGTTTCCTTAGAATAGTGAGAGCCACTTGAAAGTCTCTTGGTAATATACTCGTTCTTGTGGCCCTTTAAAAAACATGTCTGAAATAATTCTGGATTTTCAGCAGAGTTGAAAAGCTGCCCCACAAGAGCAGAGGCCCCGCTCATTCTGTTGCAGCTGTGGCTCCAGCACTCGGCACAGGGCGTGGCACACACCAGGCACATGTTTACACACAGGGATCTGCACGCCCACTGCGTGCACAGAAAGTCTCACAGCAGAAAAAACACGCCCTTCAGAGCCCCATTCTGCAACATGAGTTACATTGCTGGTGTGTATACTTAGTTTGTTCAAGACTGAGGCAACACAGAGTTGTGATCCAAACACTCTGGTTTCTGGTACTGTACTATGAAATGTGCAAATTAAGTCTTACTGAGAAATTCAAAAGTCACCTCAAGCTATAGAAAGGTATGATTTACCAAAAAAAAATCCAAAAAACAAAAACAAAAAAAACCAGGTAATTAGCCCAGCCAGTATGGGTCAGCGGATTGAGCATCGGCCCATGGACTGTGAGGTCCCAGTTTGATTCTCGGTCAGGGCACATGTCGGGGTTGCAGGCTTGATCCCCAGTAGAGGGTGTGCGGGAGGCAGCCGATTGATGTTTCTATCTCTCTCTCCCTCCCCCTCTCTAAAAAAATCAATAAAAACATATTTAAAAAACCCAAAAGGTAATTACTACGGTATTGTCTTGAGGTTAAAGGTCATTATTGCACCAAAGCCAGGCCCAATCACTGGACTGGACACAGCACAGTGGTGCTGGTGGTGCAGACAGAGGTCAGTCTGTCCGTGCACACGGCAGAAACACCTGAGGGCAAATTAGCCAAGGAGATGCAAGAGCTGTTTTTCTAGAACCACAACTAAAACCATAACCACAGACCGAGAAAGCCTAATTGTTGGCTTACATCAGTCAATGATAGTATACTAGTTACAGTGTTTTCATTATAGAGTATAATTATTTCTCTCATGCAAACCACTAAACCCGCTAGCAAACAAATATGACAGAGAGAGGGACACTGGTACCACTGTCTGTCCAGCACACCACCCTCCCTCCTCCTGGGACCAGAACCCCCTCTCGCGGGGAGCCCAGTTCTCGTGGTGCCATACCCTAACCCTTCCCCCAGCTCCGGGTCAGTGCGTGACCCCAGAGGAGCCAATCAGAACCTCCGTGTGGGACTTGATTAACGTCATCTGAGAACCAGCGCCCGCCATACCTAAGCCCAGGTATTGATACCTGGGCTCCTCACTGGAGGCAAGCAGCTGTGTGTTGTTTTGGATTCTCGATACTTGCAAGAGAAAAGAGCCCTGACTTCTCAAAACTTCTTCCCCAAATATTAAAAGTAAAAAATTCAGCTTTGTTTCTGCTAATGATGATGACAGAGGTAATAAAAAAATGATAGAACAGTTTCTCAACATCTACATTGTGGCAGATATTGTGTTACTGAGAACTTAAATGTATTTTTTTTTTGCCCTGTGTCAAAACTGAGGCCAAACCGATTTTCTCATCTGGTGTTAAGCAATACTGGGTGGGACTGGACATACTTTCCGGTCCCTGTGTCAAATAATACTGAGAACTGGAAAAGATAACTACTTACTCTAAGATAGACTTAGTCCTAAGAAAAACTGTAAACCAACTAAAACAGTTTATGTATCAAAACGAGCAACGTGCTCAGCAAGCTCCCCTGGCCCCTCGCCTCGTGCCACGCCCACCAACCCAAAGGTATTTATCATTAACTTGGCCCAAACCCAGCCAGTTCCCACACTGAAAGATCTGCCACCAACAACTCAGCCAAGGCCCTGCCACCCTATAAACACTCTCCCCCACACCCCCTGATGAGGCACTCCTATGACGCCAAGTTTCTCCCTCACTGCAGGTCTAACAGCCTAAGATCTGCTTGACTGACACACTTGCCTGGCGGTCTTTAGGGCACCTGCAACTGACAGGCTGCACTACTGCATTTGTCCAGACTCTTCCAGAGTATCTGGAAGTGGTCCTCCAAGTTGACGGATGAGTCTCCTGACCGCTTCCCTAGGAAGCTTTCAGTAGTAGTAATGCTGTGTGTGTACAGTCTACGTGACCTCCCTTACAAAGTCTCCACATCCAGGCAATGATGAAATACAAGGACCCTGAGAAGCAAGGGTGTGTCAGCCAGAAATGAAGTGCATGAAATCCACAACGTAAACTGCCTGACAACAGTTTGACAGTTTATGATTTCTTTTTTTTTGTATGGGTCTCAAATTTTATGTAGTATGTGGCAGAATGCCTCCAAAACCTGGAGGTTTCCTTAAAACAGATTCCTGGTCTCCACCACCTAAGTTTCTGATTCAATAGGTCTGGGGTGGGGAGTGAGAATTTCTGACAAGCTCCCAGGGGTGCTGCTGCTGCTCCTTTGGGGACCACACATTGAGCCACTGCACTGATGCTGAGTCAGAAACAGGTATCCCCAAATCCCTTTCCAGTGGGCCTCCCTCAGACACCATGGAGGAAATCGAGCACACATGCCCACAGCTTCAGCTTTAAGTAAAGACAAAGGATGCAGACGTATGCTTGGCTATGGCACAAAAGAGTTCTGCGCCCACAGCCTGTGAGGAAAGATGCTTAAGAGGATTTTCATGTAAATAAGAATGGAGCTCACGGTTTACTGTTTCTTTCTACAATTCCACAAAAGAAAAACATACATTCTCCTATTTTTTAATCCCACAAAGATTTCTATCACAGAATCCATGCAAACTACCTTGGGAAATTCCTTTGGTGGACCCCCATCTGGGCACAGTGAGGGATTAACATGGGAGCCTGTCACTCGACACACTATTAGTGAGATCCTACTGATTATTATACATCCAACTTAGGTTGTACAAAGTAAAAACAGAGTTTACTTTTTAAATTTCTTTATTGATTTTAAAGAGACAGGAAGGGAGAGGGAGAGAGAGATGGAAACGTAGACGAGAGAGAACATCAGTTGGCCACCTCCTGCACGCCCCCACTGGGGATCAGGCCCACAACCTGGGCATGTGCCCTAAAGGGAATCAAGCCGGCGACCTCTTGGTGCAGGGTCAATGCTCAACCACTGAGCCGCACGGGACAGGCCAGAGTTTACTTTCAAGAAAATACCAGACCCACTAGCTGGCAGCAGACATTACCTGCTGACTCTTCTACACCTACCGTACACATCTTCCTCAGCATCAGATTCTTCCAGAAAGATCTGCGGCTGCACCTTCACCTCCAGGTTTCTGCTCAGCCAGCTGGTTTGTTCCAAGGAAGAGCCAGCGATGTTCGCCACAGCTTCTAGGATTTTTTGAGTGACTTCCTGGGAGGAATTGGGAGAAAGAGAAGAGGAAATCTGTTAAAAAAAAAAAAAGAATCTCACGTGCCCGAAAGAGCACTATCCAACAGAAAAACAACACAAGTTACAACTCTGAGCCAGGTGGGTGATACTACATTTTCTAGGAGCCGCATTAAAAGACAGTTGAAAGCCCTGGCCAGTTTGGCTCAGCGGTTGAGTGTTGCGGACCAGAGAGTCCCAGGTTCAGTTCCCGAAAGGGGCATGTACCACACACACACAAAAAGATAGTTGAAAGAAACAAGTTGGTAATGCTAAACACAATATATCTGAAATATTACCAACATGTAATCAATATAGAAATTATTGATGACAATTTGCATTCTTCTTTTTGGTACTGTCTTTGAAATCGATATGTATTTTACACTTATAGGACATTCAACTCAGATGAGCCACATTTCAAGGGCTCAATAGCCGCATATGGTTAGTGACCCTGCACTGCCGACGGAGACAGAGCAGCGCACAGAGGATGCACAGCTGCACAGTGCACTTAGCAGGTTACTTCTCTGGTTTCTTTAGAACCATAGGTTCTTGCTAGAAATGCACCTGTCAACAATAAAACAAGGAACAAAAACAAGTTAAATGGACTTGATGGGGGTGAAAGGAGGAGCCCTCCAGGTCAGGAGTAGTCAGTGAAGGATCTGCTCGGGTAGCTGGGACAAAGAGATGGAAACACTGGCTGCTTTCTCAGGCCAGCATCACTGAACATCGCCAGCTAAGAGCGTCTGTGGGTCCTGGATACCTGAGGACTCAGTGATCCCGACTCCACAGTAAGCCCAGCAGCTGTGTGTGGGCACGAAGGGAGAGCACACCTGCCTGCCGGGTGGTGGAGGAGGGGGCACCTGAGGCCAAAGAGCTGAAGGGGGAGCGGCTGGCTACTGGCAATCGGCCTGTACAGTCGTGATGCTGCTTCTCCACAGGTCGAGGCCAGAGGAGACACCGGGACTGCCTAATGATGCCTGACTGCACCTACACAGCAACGGTTCAGAAGTGGAAACTGCACAGACCTTTCACAAATGCCAGGGAGCCTAACCATCAGCAGGACTATCGCCAAAGGCACAAAACATACATCCCAGCTGACTTAGCCAAGCCTTTGACTCAAAAAGCCCTTCAATCAGTGCTTATAATGGCTGAAAAATATCGATTTTCTAACTCTATCGTTATGTCTATTTATAGTTGCATTCCACTCTAAGGACAAGATTTTCCTTCTCCTCTGGGTATGTTTTCCCTTTAATTTTCAGTAATTTTGAAATTCCCCATGAGTATGAATTGCTTTAATGGGGGGGAGGGGAGAAAGGGTTTAGGGGAAGAAATCCATGTATAGAGATAAACTTATTATCTCAATCATGCTTAATTAAGGTCAGTTCCACATGCACCTGTGCACAGTGGGAAGGCGAGGGCAGCTTGTAAATTCCTCTGCAGGTGCTCAAGCTGAACACAAGAACCTTCACGGGAGAATATCAAGCCCTCTGAAGACAGAAACGGAGGAAGTGAGACCTGAGAACATATGCAGATCAAAGGTCCGATTCTGCCCAGTGCTTATTCTCTACAACGAAGCCCTCTAAAGATGGACGGTGCTCCGGGGTAGTAACAACCTGCGATACTTTCCACACACAGACCTGCAGGTCTTTTTGATCCTTCTTGCTCTCCAGGGTGGGCGTTCGTGTCACAAAGTCGTTGAGCATGCTGTTGAGAGACAGTCAGCTTCAGACTAGGAATGCTGCAGAAACACAACACGCTCCAGCAGAAACCGCGGTCCAGCGAATGCTGGGACACCGTACCTGAGAAGCAGAAAGTATCCAGGGGGAGCCAGGCTCAGCTGCACCGACTCCTTCAGCACGCCCAGCAGCGCAGGGAAGTTCTCCTGCAAGGCGGCCACTGGGAGCCTAATTCCAAAAACCAGGAAAAATACCGCCCGTGAGCAAGTTGAAACAAAATGTTTACTTACAAGCAGATTTTAGGTCCAGACAGTTGAAAAGCAGAGGGAAGATGCATATCTGACTGATCTGTTTATTCTGTTACCAATCACAATAGACATAAGCTAAATTGTGGTTTTCTGGCAAGAACCTGGAATTCGGAGACCTGAAATCCTGCGGCCGACGGTCAGCTGCTCCGGGTCTCCTCCTCTACAAAATCAAAGTCTTAACCTAGAGGATTGTCTGTGATCCTTTGGGCCAGTCTCAATCCAACATTTGGCTTCTTCAACAATGTCGGTGACACATAGTCACCTATTCAAAGGTGGCAAAGCGACAGGCCAGGGCTCACCCACCAGGAGGCTGATCTTCAACAGCTCAGGACAAGCCTCAGCGTTGCTGCCACAAAGTGAGGCCGCACAGCACAGCCACAGCAAGAGGGCCCCAGGTTCAAGCCCTGGTCCCTGACTTACTCCTGAGCAGTGCCTCCTCTGCAAAGGGAGGATGATAAAACCGAACCTGCAGCTGCCAAGAAAGCTCAGGTGTCACTTAGGCCACATAACATGTCACCATGTTAATGATCACAAGCCGTGACCAGCTCATCTAAATCCAGGAGGAAAGAACTACAATGATGCTTGTGGGTGAAGGGTCCAGAGCTGGTCTGAACTTAATCCCAGACACAGGGACCCCTGGGATTAGGAGCCTTGATTTACCTTCCCGTCTTCAGGATGTGGTGAATGGGAATAACCATGGACTATGAACTGAGTTAACCAAGGAGCCTGCACCTGGTGTCAGATTCACTTGTTGTGAAACTCCTGATGGATACAAGGATGGCCAGGCTTCCCTGGGAAGGAGTCTACCCCCCCCCCCCTTGACCTCACTGCTGCAGCAGAGAATGCCCCACCCAGTGGAGGGGTTTGGGAGCTGCCCATGGGGGTGCCAGTGTAAGATCTGAGGCACCACAGGGATTCCCCCTGTAGCTGAGCCTGCTGAATGTGGAGATTAAGCTCAGTAAAACCAGGCAGAAGCCACCCAGCAGAACACACGGGAAAGCCCCAAACATAATCATTTCTCCTTTTTCTAAAAGGGGTCTTGAACACTTTCCTTTTTCTTTCTTTCTTTTTTTGTATCAATTTAATACAAACTTTCTTTGAATGTTTACCAGGCTTCACATAAAGCTTTGCTGACCGAGTGTTCAGCATACAGCACACGGATTTTAAAATGTCAGATCAGATCTCTGTAGAAGGAAAAGTAAGACCACCAGGGCATGCCCACGCCTGGGGAAGGAATCAGGACACCATTAAGACACTTCCTGAACCGAGGCTCTCCAGTAGTCAGGACGAGCATCAGAGTTACTATTTGTGATCTCTGCAGTAGCCGCTGGAACTGAGACGTGATTCTGGGGGCCCCATTACCTTTGGATGAAAACATAGCAGAACTGCAGCACAGGGATGTCCACGAGCGGCGACTTCTGAAAATTAAAGCAAAACCTGTTCTTCCGTGTTGGTGGGAAGTGAATTCAAATAAAAGTGAAACAGATTCTGCATCATAAGAAAGCAGAGGGTTTTAGCCAAAGTGTTGTTCGAATATAATCACAGCCGTGAAAGCATCCCCCATGTGTAACAAAAATAAATGTATCCTACGAGGTCCCTAAGCATTAGTGCCCCTCCCATCAGACTTCCAGAGTGATTCCCTTTATGCTGACCTACTTCCCTTTCAGGCTCTTAAAGAATCAGAGGAAATTTGGCATTATAACTGAACCTCCTCAAAGGGTTGGGGGCCAATGCTGACCCTTCTGAATACCTGTGACTAGCTACAGACAAGAGACAATTAAAACTTCTAATTCTTCGCTCAAGGAATTTCCTCAAACCCAGCCCAGGCAACTTTCCCAAATCTCAAGTGGCTGGAGTTACTTAGACATTGGTTTCCTCCTTGCTTGGAAACAGCTATTTGTAGAAATTATAGAAGTTGAGCTAATTAACTGAACTAACCACAAAACATAATTTTGTTATTTGAACAACCAGCCAGGCAGTTAAGATCTATTTTTTTTTTTAAAGCCTGGAGGTAGAAGTTGCAGATATTTGTAGAAATTCAAGTAATGTGAGGGGAGAAAATCTACAAGTGCCGGCTCCATCTGCCACAGGCTGTCTCAGAGCCTGCTAGGGGCACTCACTGACGCCGTTCCCAGGACAGCCCGACCCCTGAGATCTGCGCAGTCACCATGCGAATTCCTGCAGGACCCGATGGCCCCTCCATCCCTGCTCTGCTCCTCCAGGGGCAAGTTACTTTCATATTCATGTATAAGAGTGAAAGGCAACAAGACTACCAGACACTTGTGGAAGACCCAGGAATGATCTCTGACAGACAAACGCCATGGAAGTCGCCATGTCCATTTTACGTTGATTCCTTATGCACTTAGCCAGTTCTAGAACCTGGCCTCACAGTGTTAACCTTTAGGCTAGCTCCTCTCTTCTCTTCCCAACTAGAACACGGACTGACGGAGGGCAGGCACAGCTTCACTGGTGCACAGGCTGATGTTCAGTGAACATGTGGAGTGAGGGGCCAGCCTTCCAGCACGGACGTCCTGCGGGGGGCTTCCCCGGGCCACAGGCCAGAGGCCCATCCAGAGGAGAAGCCCCAGATGGAGAGTTCTACTCCAAGGCAGGCAGAGTTATAAAAGCTGCCAAAATACTTGTTCTTGGTCATTTTTTCTCTATGGGGTGGAAAATGGCTGAAAACATTTCTGATTCCAAGGTTCAGCTTCTATTCACCATCCTGAGTATGAGGACCTTAATTTCTAAAGGCAATTTCCTTTTAAAAATGTTTATTATGGCAAATATACATAAAATTTACCATCTTAACCACTTTTTTATTATTATTGATTTTAGAGAGAGAGGAAAGGGAGGGAGAGAGAGATAGAACATCAAGGAGAGAGAACGTCAATTGGCCGCCTCCTACATGCCACCCACTGGGGATCAGGCCCACAACCTGGGCATGTGCCCTGACCAGGAATCAAACCGGCGACCTCTTGGTGCATGGGTTGACATGCCGGGCCATTTTAACCATATATATATATATTTTTTTTTTATCCTCACCTGAGGACATTTTTCCATTTTTTGTTCAGACAGAATGGGAGGGAAAGAGAGGAAGAGAGAGAAACATCGACATGAAAGGGACACATCGAGTGGCTGTCACCCACACGACCAACCAGGGCCAGGGACAAACTGCAACCGAGGTGCATGCCTTTAGCGGGAACCGAACCCGGGTCTCTCTGGACCGCAGGCCGATGCTCCAACCGCTGAGCCAAACCAGCCAGGGCATCTTAACCATATTTTTAAGTGTACAGGTTCAGTGGTATTCAGTATATCCACTTTTCTGGGCAACCATCACCACCATCCATCTCTGAAACTCTTTTTTGCTTTCTTTTTTTTTTTTTTTTTTTTGGTTAGTCCTCACCCTAGGATATTTTTTCCATTGATGTTTAGGTAGAGTAAAAGGGAGGAAGGGAGGGGAAGAGACACAGAGAGAGAAACATTGATGTGAGAGAGATACATCGATTGGCTGCCTCCCACACGCTTCCTGACCAGGGGCGGCTAGGAGAGAACTTGTAACCCAGGTATGCGCCCTTGACTAGAAATTGAACCTGCGACCCTTTGGTCCATGGGCCAACCCTCCAGCCACTGAGCCACTGGCCAGGGCCATCTCTGGAACAATTTCATCTTTCCAAACAGAAACTTTGTCCACATTAAACATGAACTCCCCCCCACCCCATCCCCTGGTGACCACCATTCTACTCTGTCTCTATGAATTTGACTGCTCTGGGGACCTCATAAGTGGAATCATTTAATATTTGCCTTTTGGTGACTGGCTTATTTCACTCAGCATAATGTTTTCAAGGTTCATCCGGCTGCGGCAGGTGTCAGAACCTCCTTCCTTTGTAAGGCTGAGTAATATCCCATTGCATTTATGAACCACGTTTTGTTTATCCATTCATCTGTTAATGGATACTTGGGCTGTCTCTACCGTTTGCTATTGTGAACAATGCTATTCTGAACACTGGCGTACAAATATCTATTTGAGTAAAATATTTTAATAATCACTTTGTCCATCCTACTAATTTTCATTTAGGGAATTTTTCTTAAATTTTTCCTAACTGTATAATTTTAAATCACTTGATAGAAGACAATTATTTCTATCAAATTAATTAATTGAGAATAAAACAGACAACTCTACTTGGGCTCCTCTGAGCTCTTTTCTCGACTAGGCCTTGACCTTGGCCTGGAAGGACTGAAACTTTCAGCACAAACAATTCTGTCCGCCCCGACACTGAGACTGACCAACACCAGCACGTTTCCAGCAGCACAAGGGCCTGTCCCTAGGATGACCACCCAGCCCCCACAGAATGCCTGCAAGAGAAAGCTGAAGCTGCCAAAACAATTCAGCCAACACGAGGGGCTCCTACAACCTCCCTTTCTTATTCAGAAAAGTGTTAAGTTATACATCCTCCCTCCTTCCTGTCCCTTTGAGATGTATATGTAGCTCCTACAGCTCCAGAGCTGACCTCTGAAACACCATCAGGAAAGTTAGGCCCGTCTCCAGTCTGGCGGGAGTGGAGGGGCCTACCTCTCAGGAGCAGTCAGCAGTCAGCAGGCCCAGCGGACTCGGACTCGCAGTGAGTGTGTCCTCAGGTGAGGATTACACAAAAAACCAGGTCACCTCTGCACAAACGGGACCTGAGCTCAACTCTCCCCCCTACCACAGTGGTTACTGAATAAAATCAGTCTTTACCACCTTTAACTCGTGTCTGGCTTTATCACGGATGCGCTCTAGGCTGCAAGTGCCACTTCCTCTTTGTAAAGGTGTCACTTTGCACAGGAGGTACCTGCCGGGAACCCAGCACTGGGCAGTGCGCTCTGCAGCAGGGAGCAAGGACGAAAGATGGCCCCTGACCTCAAGTGTTCCCACCTTCACACAGGCACCTGGAAGCCCATGGGACACATTTCATGCCATCTTCCCAAAACCCAGTAACAGCACCTCCGTTTTACACCCCAAATTCCTAGTTGCTTTAAATCTGTTTTCTTCCCAAACACAATGGCCCGCGGTCCTCTGGAGGTTCCCCAGGCTCCTGACCTGGTCCCCCCGGATCTGCGGTGGCCTCCTCACCACCTCCTTCACCAGATGCAGCACTGTGTCTGTCTGCAGGGTGCTGAGCGCACAAACCAGGTCAACGAGGGTTAGCTGGGATGCACTTGCTGTGGGGACAATCTGCCAAGAAAAAAAGCAGAGAGAAAACAAAAGAATGGAATCAGAGGCATTATCTCCGGCATTTAAAATGGTGAAAATGCTTCTGTATTTTCCTACGTCAGCTGCTGATGTCACCTTTGATGACACACGACTTTTTGGTATTTTTGTCAGGATGAGTTTACCGACTACTTTAATTTTTAACTCACCTTCATCTTGCTGTGCCGTTTAGCTTTCTTTCTGCTCCACACTGCGGCGACAGCGGCGGTGAGCTGGACTCCGAGATGGGCTGTCAAGGGGTTCAAGAAGTCTAAGATTTTTTGTCGTATAGTCTGAAAAATGAGGAAAGAAAAATCCAGGTATGGCAGAGTGGTGTCAGGGCTCTAGCGTACCCAACACTTGACCACTACTGCTGATAAACCCTGGAGCAGGGCTGTGCCAGTCAGCGGTAGCCGGGGGTAGGGGTGGTGGGATGGACAGACAGAGGGATAGCTGGGCGGAGCAGGAAGAGACTAAGGTGAGGAATGTCACCCTCAGCACAGCAGCCTTGAGCAGGGCAGGGGCTGGAAGGAAGCTACCCAATGCTTTGCAGAGAGGGACAAAGGGGAGACCAGGCAGCGGAGCCGCCACTGTCCCCATCTGAACCCCCACCTCCATCTTCTCAATCAGCCCAGGAGGGACTTATATTCATCAGGAAAGATGTTTTCAATTTCCAAAAATAAGTATCATTTAACTAATTTTATAATTTAATCAATTTAAAATAAGCCTATGACATGGCCCTGGACCTCACTCACTACTCTTTCACAACACAATTTTCTCAGTTCCTAGAACTGCTGTTACTCCTTCCTCTGCAAATCCTGCGGGTCTCCCAGCCTCTAACAGCCCTTCCCTTTCAAATCCTCCCACCCTGGTCTCAGCTCAGCCACTCTGCCTCAGAGGGCCTCCCAGGCCTCCGACCAGGTCAGCTTCCTTGGCTGCACGCTGGCAGAGCACCGTGCATTTCTCCCTAGCATGATCATCATCATTTGTTAATTGCCAGTTAATGTCTTTGTCTGCCATGAGGGCAGGGACTTCTTCTATCCTGGAATACAATCAGGGCCTGGTACAGCAGCAGGCACACAGATGTTCATCAAATGCATGAGTTTACTGAACATTTACTATGTCTCCATTGCCTATGTTTAGATTCACATTAGATACCACTGAGCATGGGATGAAGATGTCCCCTCCAGTCTGCCATGGTTTCTGCTCCAATGAGACTATTGGGGTCCCTAACCCTGACATCAAACCCCCAGAGACTTTATTTTTAGTTAAAAAAAAGAAGGTAAAGGGGAAATAAAATAGGTCAGAAACCACGGACCAAGCCTTCCATTCCATGAACAGAAAAATTATTCAAAACACATTGGAGATTTCTACTTCCAACTTCCTTCTAACTTGGATTTCACTGAGCACATTATGTTTGATTATTTATGTATGTATTCCTGAGTGTAAATCTTTATTTTTGGTGGGACAAAACAAGACAAAGCAAATAATAAAACCGCAGAGGATGATCTCTCACCTTGGTGGTTTTAAAGTAAACGGAAGAGGATCCCTTCGTGGCTCCGAGGAGATCCACGGGTCTCTTTTGTGTCTCCTCCTTTCTGAGTACGTTCCAGAGAAGAGCCATGGTGTTAACGATTCGGGGCAGCTCCTCCAGAATGGCATTCTTGGCATTTTTGAGACTGGTGGGATCACTTACAGCTATGGTCTGAAAATGAACACGAGAGACTTGGCTGCACCTGCGGCAGGTTTCCCTCTCTGTGAGGACAGTGGTCAGTGCAGGTGGAGGATCCTGGGGCTGCAGCCCCTTCTCAGCAAGTCCCACATGTGCTGGTCTGGAAGTGGGACACTTCCCTGTGCGTCTGAACCAGGGCCTTCTTTCAAAGAGGGACGTCTGAGAGTCTGAGAGGCCACATTATAGACTCTTTCCATCATTCAACTGAAGCCTTAGCTGCATTCGCAAATTTAATGCCAGATAGGTTAGGGCAATTAACAGCTCAAATGTCTCCCAACACAGATTTCACAAACACTAGGACAGCGTAAGTGGGAAAAAAAAGGAATATAAACCTAAAATCAAGCAAGTGGCTTTACATTTTATCCCAAGTGGCTTTACTGATGAAACATGGGCTAGGACTGAAGAAGTGACCAGAAGAACAAAACCACACTTGCATTAAGTACGTACATTTCCACACACATTTGAATTATGTTTGCATTATTTATATGCATAGACTTGCACACATATTTGCATTATTTACATTCAAACATTTCTTATTGGAAACAGTTATAACCCAAAGAAGACAAAACAATATTATGAAAATTGCCTCCAACTCAGAAAAAACAAATTATTACCTTTTTACTTTGGTTGGGTTGTTCCAAAAGACAAAAATGACTAATGGTTGTCAGTCCTTCCAAAAGAGTGAGTGGGTAATCCGGAGAAATGTTTTCCCTCTTGGAGGTGATGCTTGGGTGAAGAAATGAGAAGGTGGTTTTGAGGATTTTTTTTTTAAACATTTTTTTCTTTATTGATTTTTAGAGAGAGAAGAAGAGAGAGACAGAAACATTGATGAGAGAGAACTTTGATTGGCCACCTCCTGCATGCCCCCCACTGGGGATCGAGCCCACAACCTGGGCATGTGCCCTGACTGGGAATCGAACCGGTGACCTCTTGGTGCATGGGTCGATGCTCAACCACTGAGCCACACCGGCCAGGTTTTTGACAATTTTTAAGAATGAGGCTACAAACATAGGCTTTTTAATCCTACATACAAACATAGGAACCAGAGAACTATCACCACCTTAAATAAACTGGAACTCTCATAATAAAATATTGCTATAATATTAGTAGGCGTCTTGTGTGCTATTTTACATTCCTGCAGTCACTTTGGAAAAATGTTTCTAGGTGTTTTAGTAACAGTGACTAATTTTTCCTGTAATTGAACCAACCTGGTTAGCTGTGTGGTATTAAAAATAGAGGATCTGCACATTTAATTCCTTATCATCCCTCCTGACAATGCTAAACAGGCTTCTCAGTTAAAACATCCCCCAGCTGGCTCTACGGCAAATCAGCCATTCCTTATAAAAACTGTTATCAGAGCAATAATGCATCAAGGGATCGCCATACCTGATAGAGAGCTTCACAGATTCGCTTTCATACTGTTTGACGAGCTCGTCCAAGTTTTTGCAAATCTGGACAACGAAGGGTGTCACTGTCCAGCCCAGGGACTTTCCAAAGTACGGCAAGGAATGGGTGACCAAGCTCACCCAGGCGGGGTGCATGCCGTAGCCATAGGCCGGCTGCAGACCTCTCACCACAGCGGACACCAGCAGCCCCTGGGAGGTGAGGGGGTGGGGCTGGATGTACTGCATGGCGCTGATGGCCTGCTGGAAGTTGAGGGCCCTCTGCCACTCCCGGGCCAACTGTGGCTGGTTTTCAGCCTCCTCATGGACCTGGCCCAGGTGATGCTCCAAGACAATTAGCACCTGCAGGAGCTTCAGCAACTCGATCTGCAGGGGGTGCTCACTCCAGATCTGATCCTGGCCCAAGTTGATGAGATTCTCCTCGAAGAGGCTGTCTTCCCGCAGGGCCTGGCCTCGTTCTGCGGTGGCCAGGCCATAGCGCTTCTGGCTTGTATACATGGACGCTGACAGGGACAGCAGGACAAACTCCTGCACTTTGCACCTCTGCAGTAGGCTGTGGATGAACTCCACGTTCTTCCCTTCAGTGGACTTGGCCACTGAGACCAGCTGCGTCATTATTCTAATCAAAACCTCCACGCTTTTGACCTGGACGTCCCGGTTGCCAAGTAGGTCTCGGTGGGAGATCTTTAAGTAACAAGGGTAATAGCTACGCAGGAAACTCAGGCACAGGTAGGTGAGGAGCTCGATCAGCAGAGAGTGGGGGCACACGTTGGGGGACTGGGTCTGGAGTTTTCCGTAGAAGCTCTGGCCAACGAGGGCCTCCTGGTGACGAGCAAGGAGGTTGGAGATGAGGTTGAGATGCGCGGTGGAGCTCGTGTCCATGCTGGTCCTGGACACGGCCTCGATAAACTCCTTGGGGTTGGTTTTGAGCACGGCCTCTAACACGGAGAAGGCGTAGAGGACCCGCCGGGAGTCGTAAGGCTGCAGGTAGAGCAGGATGTGCTTGAACAAGGCCTCGACTGTCTCCTGCCTTTCCCGCTGCTGCTTTAGCAGCCTGGACATGGTGAGGGCCTGGAGCTCCACGTCCGCCTCCTCGTCACTGGAGAATGACTCCGAAGCCTGGGTCTTGTCTGAGTCCACGCGGGCCAAGCTTAGCTGGGCATTAGACTTGAAGCTTTCGGCCTGGAAGGCCGCCAGGAAGGCGGAGCGCCGGGGGTAAACCCTGCTGCCCGCGGAGACGGGAGCACAGCAGCCCTCTTCATTGCTCAGCTCCTGCAGGTCGTGGGAAGGGGAGGACAAGGAGGAGGTGTTCTCGCTGTCCGTGTGGGCAGAGCTCGAGTCTGCAGACTCGGTGTGCTCGCTGCTGTCCGGAGCGCCTCGGGCTGTCCTGTCCTGAAGGTCCGTGTAGTAGGGAAGATCCTCCTCGCTTAGCTGGCCTCCCGGCGAGCACTTCTCTGGCTCCTTCTCCACCTCGGCCCAGATGGCCTCGCGGTCCACCGTGGTGAACTGGCTCAGAGGCACGCTGTCTTCTGAGCTGCTTTCCTGAAGCTCGGGCACTCCACATGTCTCTTTGAAAGAGGTTTTCTTCCTGTTAAACCAACGATGCAAGTCCTCTGAAAATTACAAAATGACAAACCACTTCAGAACGGAAGGGTGAACTATGACATGTTAGTTCTAGAGCTATCTTTGTATTAAAACCAGACAGAAAGATCACTATTTTTTTTGTTAATCCTCACCTGAGTATAATTTTCCATTGATTTTTAGATAGAGTGGAAGGCAGGGAGGGAGGGAGAGAGAGAGAGAGGGAGAGAAAGAGAGAAACATCGATGTCAGAGATACACGCAGATTGGTTGCCTCCTGCATGACCTCGACTGGGGCTGGGGATCGAACCTGCATCCTGGGTACATGCCCTTGACCAGGAATTGAACCCACGACCCATGAGTCCGAGGGCTAATATTCTAACTGCTGAGCTAACTGGCCAGGGCAGAAAGATCACTATTAATAAAATTCCCCCATGAAACTACACCACCAGAGTCTAGATTATAAGATGGACAAAAGGTAGACAGGTAAAGTGAACACGTCTTTAAAAATGTTCAAGTAATCAGATAAATTAGTTATACTATCATACATTTATACAATATAAATATCACAACATTTGAAGGAAGGGCATTGTTATTTATTTAGTTTTGGTACATGCCCCTAGCGGGAACCAAACCCAGGACTCTTTGGTCTGCAGGCCGACGCTCCAACCGCTGAGCCAAACCGGCCAGGGCAGGAAGGGCAATTTTAAAAAATGTGTATTTTGTCCCAGGAGCTTCCTTTCAAGAAATATATCCTACAGAAATGTCAGCAGAAGGTTTTAAAGCTCTAGGAGTATTCACTGAAACATCTTATATGAAGACAAACAGGAAAGCAAACAAAATATCCATAAGAGACAGAAAAAAAAAAAAATCACAGCACATGTATGCAATGGACTACAGTTCAGGGTTTTTTTTTGTTTTTTTGTTTTAATCCTCACCCGAGGACATTTTTTTTCCATTTTCTGTTCAGATAGAGTGGGAGGGAGAGAGAGAAACATCGATGTTAAAGGGACACATCAAGTGGCTGCCACCCGCACAACCAACCAGGGCTGGGGACAAACTGCAACCGAAGTACATGCCCTTAGCGGGAACCGAACCTGGGTCTCTCTGGACTGCAGGCCGACGCTCTAACCACTGAGCCAAACCGGCCAGGGCACAGTTCGGGTTTTTATTTTTTACTTTATTTTAAAAATATTTTTTCTTTCCTGATTTTACAGAGGGAAAAGGAGAGAGAGACAGAGAGAGAGAAACATCGATGAGAGAGAACAATGACTGGCTGCCCCTGCATGTCTCCCACTGGGAATCGGGCCCACAACCTGGGCATGTGCCCTGGCTGGAAATCGAACCAGCGACCTCTTGGTGGATGGGTCGACACTCATCTACTGAGCCACACCACCAGATGGATCTTTTAAAAACCTGAACCGGTGCCTTGGCCAGTTTGGTTCAGCAGCTAGAGCATCAGCCCTCGGACCAATGAGTCATGGGTTCAATTCTGGTCAAGGGCACGTACCTCGGTTGCAGTTCGTCCCTGGCCCTGGTCAGGTCGTGCAGGAGGCAACCAGTCGATGTGTCTCTCTCGAGTCAATGTTTCTCTGCCCCCCGCCCCCATTCTATCTGATGATAAATGGAAAGATATCCTCAGGTGAGAATTAAAAAGAACCCGAACTGGCTCGGCCAGTGTGGCTCAGTGGTTGAGCGTTGACCCATGCACTGACGGTTGCTAGTTTGATTCCTGGTCAGGACACATGCCCAGTTGTGGGCCCAATTCCCAGTGGGGGACATGCAGGAGGCAGCCAGTCAATGTTCTCTCTCATCGATGTTTCCAGCTCTCTGCCTCACCCTTCCTCTCTCTAAAGAAAAAACAATGAAATAACCCATCTATATGCACTGATGTGGAGCAATGAGCAAGATATATAAAGTGCAAGAAAAAAAAGTTGAGCTACAGAACTGAGCTGTACCAAACAAGCCCATTTAGGGAAGAGTACCTATAGCATGCAATCGTGAAAATGTCTGGAAGAACATCTGCCAAACCATTAACATAACTAGCTCTATCAGCTAGCACTACAAGGGACTCTTGCTTGTGTTTTTACTTCATTATTCCAATTTTAGTCCTTCTGTAATCAGAAAATACACATTTAAAAATATTCAGATATTTTTATTTATTTTATTTTTTTAATCCTCACGAGGACATTTTTCCATTTTTTGTTCAGATAGAGTGGGAAGGAGAGAGAGAGAGAGAGAGAGAAACATCAATGTGAAAGGGACACATCGAGTGGCTGCCTCCCACACGACCCAACCAGGGCCGGGGACAAACTGCAACCGAGGTATGTGCTCTTAGCGGGAACCAAACCCGGGTCTCTCTGGACCGCAGGCCGACGCTCTGTTCAGATATTTTAAAAAGGGAATGAAAGCCAGAGGTCTTTGGGACTGCCGCACAGTTTAAATATGCAATGTGTAACAATCTGTTCCATGAGAATGAAGCAAGACTAGAAGGAAGGAAGAATGAGGTCTTAGAAAGAGATGAGCTGCCGATGCACACAGACTTAGTGTTCAAGTTGCTTCTGGAAGTTCTCTGAACACAGGGAGGGCAGGGGATACGCAGCGTGTGTCGAGGGGAAGAGAACATGGAGAGAAATGAAGCTACGCTTTCTCTTATCAGGAGGGTGGCAGATGAAGCAGCCGGAAGGGCTGTGGGACTTTAAAACCCAATAAACATGGAGTTAAAACTTTCTTCTTCAAACAGATAAAGGAATACTAAAAAGCGTGGCCACCATAATGGACTGTCAAACTTTTAAGAAGTTGCTTAGCTTATACATCTTGGAATGTTACTTACTTACAACATGGAATAATGAAATGCCTCCCCTTGGAGAAGGCAGCCTGCGGTCCTTCCTGACAGATAACTGGACTTACAGTTTTAGGCAAGGAACCTTGTGAAGAGAGGACACCCTCTTGGAGATCTTTGCTTAGTTAGGTGCTAGGCTGCTTTTCTCTTAAGATAACACCGAGACAGAGTATTTACAGTCCAGGGACCTAAACAAACTAACTCAAAGCTTGTAAAGCCACGGCTCAGAAAACAGTAGGCAGGCAGGCAGTCATAAAGTGTAGTTATTGTGGGAAGTGATGTTCACGAACTGTGGCAGATATTACGTCTCATGTATGAACTCATCAGGTTTTAGTCTTTCTTTTCTTATTCCTACCAATATTCTTTCATTAGTGTTCAAGTTGCTTCTGGAAGTTCTCTGAACCCAAAGGTTATTTCTTCTGCATTTCTGACTATATTCTAGTTGAAAAGAACCTTAAAGAGCAGATTTAAAAAAAACTGTGCGCCTGGCCGGAATGGCTCAGTGGTTGAGCATCGACCCAAGCACCAAGAGGTCGCCAGTTTGATTCCTGGTCAGGGCACATGCCCAGGTTGTGGGCCCAATCCCCAGTGAGGGGCATACAGGAGGCGGCCGATCGATGTTCTCTCTCATTGATGTTTCTAAATATCCCTCTCCCTTCCCTTCTAAAACCAATAAAGGAAAAAAAAATTTTTAAAAACTGCGCAAAATTCGATATTCTTGGTCATTCATATTTAAATGCACTCTAACCTATCTCAACCCCAGGTCTGAGCAGGGACCTGGGAGAAGTGCTGGCCTAGCCAACCCAGATTTATCTTCATGCCAGACCTCAGACTGAAAGTCTGTCTCCCTTTCAAGTGAAGCCATTGGCTTTGAAGACCTTAGGGTAGATGGTCTGTTATTCCTGCCTCCTACCGTATATGCTCTTGAGATGTTTTCTCTAGAACAAGAATCAAGAATCAGCTATTTTTATTTGAACATAGATTACTAAAATTTTTTTAATTTTTTTTTTTTTATTCCTCACCTGAGAACATCTTTCCATTTTTTGTTCAGATAGAGTGGGAAGGAGAGAGAGAGAGAGAAATATCGACGTGAAAGGGACACATTGAGTGGCTGCCACCCGCATGACCACCCAGGGCCGGGGACAAACTACAACCGAGGTACATGCCCTTAGCGGGAACCGAACCTGGGTCTCTCTGGACAGCAGGCTGACGCTCTAACCACTGAGCCAAACCGGCCAGGGCTGTATTTCATTCTTAAGAGACTGATTTTATTTACTGAAAACAAACCCACTATCTAAAATTTCTAAGTGATGGTTCATCTGATCCTTAAATTTTAAAAGTCCCCACAAGTTTACAAAGTAACTTCACACTATTTGAACCTGGTAAAATCACGAAGTGGGTCTAAGTGCCTTATCTGTCAAGAGGGGCAGTTGGGTCCACCGCCCTTTCCTGCCTCCCGGGCCTGGAACACAGGGCTGGCCTGGCTGCCTGGACTGGCGAGCTCACCTGCTGAGTTCTCCTGCTTGAGACAGTGAATGGAGGTCCTCTGGGTTTTGGGCTGCAGCAAGAGCAGGAGCACGGGCTCAAGGATGCGTGCCACATCACCGAGGGAAAGTGCCCGCACCAGCCAGCCCTGGGCTGCCGCGCCGATGGCACCGTCGGTGCAGGTCAGGCTGTCCAGAACAACGAACAGGGACCTGTGGGTGGGACGTGCACCGTGGAGTTAGTGTGTCGTGCTCCCGTGTGCCAGGATCCCTCAGGGAGCTCAGCCCATGCTGGGCTTGTAGATAATAGGATTTAAGCCTTGGTTTCATGCTAGAAGCAACCGGGGAGCTTTCAAAATCCTGATCCCCCAGGCCCCAGCCCCAACCAGTTAGCTGGGACTTAGGGGTGGGCCCCAGGCATCAACATCAGCTGCATGTAAGGCTGTGTGTCTGGCCACACACCTAGAGTTTTGGAAACAAGGTAGGGATTTTTAGATGTGAATTATAATATACCTGCAATAAATTTACACCTTAAGTGTAAGGTTAGTGATTTTACAAGTATATACATACAGTACACCCAGTGTGGCCGCCACTCCAATATAGCTAGACCATCTCCACTTCCCTCTACCCACCTCCCAGGAGGGGTGGGCAGGCTCTGAAAGCTCCCCGGTGACTCGAGGCATCTTGAGTCTCCTCCCTCCCCAACCATAGTAAAATCCCCACCATGTATTTAACCATGTATTTACTCACATGTGTCCGGCCTAAACCCACTTAGGGGATCATGAGACTGCTGCACATCAAGAACATGAGGTCATGCCCTGGCCAGTTTGGCTCAGCGGTTGGAGAGTTGGCCCGCGGACCAGAGAGTCCTGGGTTCAGTTCCCGCTAAGGGCACGTACCATGGTTGCAGTTTGTCCCCAGTGTGGGTGGCAGCCACTCGATGTGTCTCTCTCACGTCGATGTTTCTCTCTCTCTCTTCCTCCCTGTCTCCCTCCTGCTCTATCTGAAGATAAATGCAAAAATGTCCTCAGGTGAGGATAAAAAAAAAATACGAGGTCATGCCCTGGCCAGTTTGGCTCAGCAGTTAGAGTGTTGACCAGTGGACCAGAGAGGCCTGGGTTCGGTTCCTGCTAAGGGCACATACTTCAGTTGCAGTTTGTCCCCAGCCCTGGTTGGGGTCGCGTGGGTGGCAACCACTCAATGTGTCTCTCTCACATCAATGTTTCTCTCTCTCTCTCCCTCCCACTCTATCTGAAGATAAATGCAGAAATGTCCTTGGGTGAGGATTAAAAAAAAAAAAAGAGCCCTGGCTGGTTTGGCTCAGCGGTTAGAGCATTGGCCTGCGGTCCGGAGAGACCCAGGTTCGGTTCCCGCTAAGGGCACGTACTTCAGTTGCAGTTTGTCCCCAGCCCTGGTTGGTCGTGCGGGTGGCAACCACTCGATGTGTCCCTTCACGTCGATGTTTCTCTCTCTTTCTCTCTCCCTCTCTCTCTCCCTCCCACTCTATCTGTACAAAAATTGGAAAAATGTTCTCGGGTGAGGATAAAAAAAAAAAAGACAAGGTCATGGTGTCCATGTCACACATCTCCCCGCCCCCAGCCCAACATGCTGACCAGCAACCTCTCTGCAAAGTATCCTTTTGCACTGAGGGTCAATGATAACAGAGACAACCTCACCTGTCGAAGGAGCGATTGTGAGATGTCACCCGACTGCCTTGGATCTCTCGCGTCAGGTGCCAGAGGACAGAAAATCTAAACAGAGCCTCCAATCTGGTCCCCTTGATTAGGAAACAAACAGGCGTGAGGAACCTGGTTTCCTGACGGGACGCTGTTTTCAGTCACGTGAAACTACATTTAAAAACAAATGTGAGCCCTGGCCGGTTTGGCTCAGCAGTTAGAGCGTCGGCCTGCGGACCAGAGAGACCCGGGTTCAGTTCCCGCTAAGGGCACGTACCTCGGTTGCAGTTTGTCCCTAGCCCCGGTTGGGGTCATGTGGGTGGCAACCACTCAATGTGTCTCTCTCACATTGATGTTTCTCTCTCTCTCTCTTCCTCCTTCTCTCCCTTCTGCTCTATCTGAAGATAAACAAAAATAACAAAACAAAAAAAAACAAATGCGAGCTCAGAAGCAGGACGGCAGCGCAGCAGAGGCTGGACGGTCACTGTGCCTGGTGGCCGACCTGCGCCCTCTCTCCTGCTGGCTGTAACACAATGCACTGTCAATAGAGCACAGTCCAGACTCCGCACTCGCCCCTGCCCAGGGTCACAGGTAGGCCTGTGGTCGAAGGAAAACACAAGTGAGTGTGGGGTCCATGCCCTTCCCTTAAAAGTGACGGGCCACATGGTTTACAGCACAAAGACACCATTGGGCCGACAGCCAGGGCTTAAAGGGCCAACACACTCTCTACGACTGCCTACTGCACCAGCATCTCCAGAAGCCGTGCAGGTACCTACAGGTCCTGCAAACATCACGGGAGTTTGGGCAGATTTCCCTGGTGAGCCCTAAGATGTTTTGGGGACTCCAGCTTGTGTTGCTGGAGGCCTTCCAGTCTCAACATCTCTAACCCTTCTGTTCATTAACTAGGATGTCCGCTGGGCCCCAGAATGACCTCAACTGGATATATGAAGTCTGCCCTGAGCCCATGAAGTGACAGGCTGGCCCAGCAGCGAGGACCCTCGCAGGATGGAGGTTAGGGTTGCAGAGACTTGCCTTGTCAGGGTCCAGGAGGGCGTGGCAGATGATGTCCTCGCAGATGCTGGCCGTTGGGGCCAGGCAGTGCAGCCGGTAGAATAGCTCCACACAGGTGACGTGATGCTCCCGGGTCTCCTTGTTCAGCTGATTCCACAGCACACGAGCCACCCTCTGGGACAAAGGGGACACCTAGTGAACGCAGGCAGCACCTGGCCACTTCCTCCTTGCCTAGTCCAGTCCTAGTCCCAAGGTACTGGCTTCTACCTACATTTGCTATGAAGAATCCTTACTATACAAAGAAACATCGCCAACACACAAAACAAACCCAAACCCACATCAAACCATGAAACCCAGCAGAAGTTACCCAGGCAGAGGCAACGATACAGGTTATACATGGAGCTTTGTGGTCAACTAAGAACCTCCAGTTTCAAAGAGGGAGTCAACCAGAAGCAAGAACCTACTGGTCGATGCCTCCTTTCAACAAGCACAACCCAAGCCTTCCCATGAGCCGGCACTGGGGTTCCAGAAATGTGCCCTTGGTCACCAATTGTGAGGTGGACACTGCAGCACCTCACCACCTGGGGTGGGCTCTAACTGGCTTTGAGGTTTACTTCCACAAACTTACTGGTTCCCATTTCTGTGGACAATGCCGCAGCAGACGCCTGGCTCACTGTCAGGACACAAATGGTATCCCAAACCGAGTCCTCCATCTCCCCAGCGCTGATTTTAGCTCTTTAAAGACACGGGGCCTGCAGCCTGCTGCAGCCCCTCCCCAAGTCCCATGGAACACCCCCTTGGGTGTCTGACCCAACAGGGTGAGACTCAAAAGCAGTGTTGGTCCCCACTTCCGGGAGGGGGATTTCTAAAAGCATTCTTCCAGGTCATAGAAAAAGATGTCTTGTAGATCTAATATTTTAGGGACATCTTAGATCAAAGAACTTTTTTTGGCCCATTTGTTCCCATGCAACAGAATTGTCTTCTCTGCACAGAGCAAATTAATCACTGACTGGCTCAAGCCCCTAACCATTATTTTCTTACTTACCGGAATGCGGTTTCCAATGATCAAGTTACAACTAAACTGCTGATACTGAAAACTCACTCCCGGGCCAGACACTGTGGCAAGAGCCCAAGGCAGGCACAGGTCTCTAGCAACCCTCTCCGATGTCACCAGGCTGCCACATTCCTCATTATAGCAGCTACAGCCTTGGGGACAACTTTCAATAAACGGTCTGGGAAGAGGATCCCAGGGTCCCACCGACCCTCTTTCCAGCGGGAAATACCTGATAGAAGTCTGTTTTCTCTGCAATGACCTTCAGGATTCCTGGTGCAATGGGAGGCACCGTCACCATCTGCAGCTTGCCGAAAAATGGGTTGTATCCAGAGCTCTTATAGCGTTTCATCTTGTCCTCAATGACAAGCGCAAGGGACTGGGAGTGGTTGATCACCTCCAGCAGAGTGCAGATGGCCACGTTCTGGAGGTAGCAGTCCTTCCCACAGCAGCAAATGGTCATGAGGGATTTCAGCCACGACGGAAAACTGGACTCGCCGGCTCCTAGAGGAAGCCAACCACAGAGGATGGGAACAAACAAAGCCACGTGAGAATGGTGCTCAGATGTGTAGGTTCTAAGGCACCCCAGGATCCAGGAAGCCACCTGGACCTTCTGGTGGTGACTTGGTATGCAGACTGCACAAAGGGCCAGCGGACGAATGAGACCGAGTCTGGTTTCACAAGCTGGTCAAGTTATTTGAATTCTACCAGTGTCAATCTCCGGCTTTGCGATGATTCAAAATGTTTGTTTTCTTTTTAGAATTTAGGTACAGTGAAATTCACATTAAAACATTTTTAAATTTACATAAAGTAAAATTCACACTTTCGGGCAGAGTTCGAATTGTTTTCCAGGGCTCTCTTGGTGGCAGGGCACATGGCATTAACTTTGAAAGGCAGAAACATGCAGGGTTCCCGTTCTCAATGCAGTTCTTCCGAGGGTCTTCCACTGGCAGCTGGGCCAGGCAACCAAGTGCCCGGGAAATGGAAGGTAATGGCTGCCCGACGGAGAACCTTCGCCCTATGTTCCCGCCAACCTAACTGCTCTTGTTTTCCACCTTCCTCTATACCCCTCCTCTCCCACCCTTTTTTCCTTTAAAGTGCTCACTGCCTGCTAGGGACTGAATTATATCTGTCCCAAATTCACGTTGAAGCCCCAACCCCTCGTGGGATGGTTCAGAGGTGAAGCCTTTGGGAGATAATTAGGTTTAGATGAGGTCCTCAGCGTGAGGCCTCGAGATGGGACTTGTGCCCTTTTAAGAAGAGACATCAGAGCCCTGGCTGATTTGGCTCAGCGGTTAGAGCACCGGCCCTTGGACTGAAGGGTTGTGGGTTCGATTTCTGATCGATGCCACATACCTGGGTTGCAGATTCGATCCCTGGCCCTGGTTGGGGTCGTGCAGGAGGCAACCAGTTGATGTGTCTCTCTCACATCAATGTTTCTCTCCCCCCCCCGCTTCCACTCTATCTAAAAAATCAATGGAAAAAAATCCTGGGATGAGAATTAACAAAAAAAAAAAAAAAGAGGAAACATCAAAGTGATCCCCCCACACACCCAGGATGTGAGCAATGAATGAGAAGGTGGCTGCCTATGACCAACAGGAGAGCTGTCACTAGGAACCGACCATGCTGACACCCTAATCTCAAACTTCCCAGGCCCCAGAACTGTGAGAAAATCAAGTTTCACTGTTCAAGCCGCTCAGCCTATGGTATTCATTAGGACAGCCTGAGCTCAGACACTGCCTGCTACGGGTTGTGCTTCGTCCCCCAAATATTCTCACGTTGAAGCCCTAACCCTAGCACTTCAGAATGTGACCTTATTTGGAAACAGGTTTGATGCAGATATAATTAGTTACAGTGAGGTCACAGAGCAGTGGGCCCCTAATCCAATACAACAGGTGTTCTTATAAAAGGGCAATTTAAACACAGGCACGCACACGGGAAGAACGCCATGTGAAGACTGGAGTTATAATGCCACAAGCCAAGGAAATACCAGAAGCTAGGGGCGAGACCTAGAACTCGTCCCTCCTCAGAACATAGGGAGGGAGCACGGCCCTGAGGACACGTCATTGCAGACTTCTGGCCTCACACTGTGAGAGAATACATTTCTGTTGCCTAAGCCACTTAGTTTGAGGTACTTTATTTTATTATTACTTTTTATCCTCACCTGAGGATATTTTTTCCATTTTTTTGTTCAGATAGAGCGGGAAGGAGAGAGAGGAAGAGAGAGAGAAACATTGATGTGAAAGGGACACATCGAGTGGCTGCCACCCGCACAACCCAACCAGGGCTGGGGACAAACTGCAACCGAGGTACATGCCCTTAGCGGGAACCGAACCCGGGTCTCTCTGGACCGCAGGCCGACGTTCTAACCGCTGAGCCAAACCGGCCAGGGCGAGGTACTTTTTTTTTTTTTTTTTTTATCCTCACCCGAGGATATTTTTTCCATTTTTTGTACAGATAGAATGGGAGGGAGAGAGAGGAAGGGAGAGAGAGTGAGAAACATCGACGTGAAGGGACACATCGAGTGGCTGCCACCCGCACGACCAACCAGGGCCGGGGACAAACTGCAACCAAGGTACATGCCCTTAGCGGGAACCGAACCCGGGTCTCTTCGGACCGCAGGCCGACGCTCTAACCGCTGAGCCAAACCGGCCAGGGCGCGAGGTACTTTTTTTTATGGCAGTCCTGGCAGACTGATGCACAAATCTTTAACAACAGATCTCATGAAATAGTCTATTTACCAACTATTATTAAGCACCTTTTATGTTCCAGACCTTTTAACAATAAAGACTGGTTTCACCCATTTGCCATCTGTATACACAACTAATCAGGAACTACGGAAGGAAATAAATGTGGCACAGTTCCTCCCTGGGTGACATGATCCTAGCTCTTCTAGAAACGTCAATGGCCTAAGTACCATTAGTCCCCGAGATGGACCATCGCGGCCAACCTCACCAGGGAGCTGGAAGAGCTTTTCGCAGAGCTGCTCCGTCTCCTCCTCGGACAGGTAGATGGGGAAGGTGGCGCAGTCCAGCAGCAGGTGGCAGGCAGCGGCGAAGGCCTCCCTGCAGCCCTCCCTGGAGCTCCCCAGGTCAGTGACCACCTGGTCCACGGCCCAGTCTCCCTCCTTTGTTTGGCCAGGGTTGCTGGGCGAAGGTGATGGCGACTCCACAGTTTTTGTCTTAAATGGAGACCCTCGGACTGTGAACCAGTCTGAGAGCATCTGCTTAAACTGGGGCACACTGATGGGCCTGGCCTCCCACGAGTTCTTCCTGCCACGGAGGCTGGGCTCTGGGCCCGAAGGCCTGGCCTCGTCCCTCTGGCCCCCAGGCTCTTCAGCCTTGTTTTCCGCTCCGGGCGCCATTAGCTGTACTCCAAAGATGTTCTTATGGGCAAAGTTGGCAATTAGCTCCTGGATGCAAAAAAATGTCCTCTGCATACTCCCGCCCGTCTTCCAAACATCGTCTTTTTCAGGAGAGACTCTGGGGACCCTCAAGTGCTCAGAGAGCTCTGGTGATGACGCACTGAGCCCAATCCCACTGTCTTCAGATTTAAGTGCAGGAAACAAAGCGTCTTCATCACCTGGGATCACTGCCTTTGTGTCTAAAATGATGTCACTGTTTTCATGTTTTACTGGACTCTACAAAAAATGAAAAGTTTGTATAATATGCATCTTGTAAAACCAGAGGATTCAATTATCAGCTGAATTAGGCAAATGGTAAATGTGTACTTTCTGGTACTTAAAATTGTAACTCTCTACACCAACAGAACCCCTGTGCACAGTGTACAGTGAAATGAAGACGCAACATGGGCAGGAGAGGCAGCTGGCCCAAGGTGGAGGCAGACAGACAGCCATGCTCTTCATGGCCTTGAGTTACTTATTTAGATTCTTTAGCATTAAAAAAGCTAGTTAGAAACAGTTTCTGACAGCCTTAAAAATATGACTGAGAAAATTGGGCTGAGGGTAAAATAAAGACATGAAGTAACATAAAAGGAGAAAGCCAGAACAAAGTTTTTATACACACATAAGTATGTGTATAGTAAGCCCTCACTTCACATCAACAGGTTTTGTGACTGTAAGCAAAATGACATAAAAGGAAAGCAATTTTACCAGAGGCTAACTGATACAAACAGAAGTCCCTAAGTCATCTCATTGTTTTAACAAAGTGTGTCATTCGGAGACCCGCTGTGTATATCTTTGTGCTTTTCCAAAGGGATGACATGTCATCCTTCAATGAATCAGCCTCTTTTCCTTTCTTACACTTTACTTAGATAGTATTACATTAAATTAAAATTCCTCAGCATTTAACCCTTGGTGCTTTCTAGGAAAGAACAGAAGACTATTATGCAATTTTGAGATATATTCTTTTTAATTTGTAGACTACACAGACTTAAACTTTACATCTTAATTTTAGGATACTTTTCTCCAATAGCTGTTCTAGCTTGCTGTGACCAGCATATGAACACATAAACCTTAACAAGACTGTAAGTATATTCCAGAAGGAAACCATTCCACCTGAACTAAATAAGAAAAATAAAAACTTCCAATGCTACAGTCTTGAATACCAGACCAGATTTAGTAGCTCCACCCACAGCTAAGATTTTCCTACCGGCCTCCTGCAGGGATGGCTGGCTGCTCACACAGCCCCCACCGTCTTCCTTTCTGTAGGCTGTTCCCGTGAAAACTGGCTTCAATGTATTTTGTTCTCTGGGAATGTAATGAGCATAATGGTGCCTTCTACTAATACAGCATTCCAGTCTTGCTGGTAATTTTGTACAGTACAGTATATAAATGGCTGTGCTAAAAGCCAAACAGCTAAAAAATACTGAAAAATCATTACAGTATATAAAAATGGCAATATCTTTGAAATTAGTAAAATTGACTGGCATAGTAAAAAACAAAAAACAAAAAACCCAAAACACACAACTTTGCAACTGAGGCAGCCGTCTGTGATGAGTTTGTGAGCTGAGCCTCTGTCCCGTCAGGCAGCTCATCTACCTCCCAGCACCACCGGGACACACGGCTCCAGGAAGGCCCCCTGCCGAGTCCGTTCACACACTGCCTGCCCCTGGGTCCAATGGATTTCAAGGACAGAATTTTCCAATCCTTGGACAAAGAAGAAAATAAAAATAATTCAAAGACCATGGACCTCCAACTACTCATGGAACTGTTAAGTGTTTTTGGAGGACAATTTGGCAGCCTCTCTCCCAGTTTATAGAGAAATGGGTTTAACTACAATCCAATTTTTGGGAACTGATCCTCCCCAAACACTCACAACTATGGAAAGCTCTGTGAGGATGCTGACTGCAGGACTGTTGGTAAGACTGAAAAACTAGAAATAACCTAAATGACATCAATAGGAGAGTGGTCGAGGAAATTCTAAAGCCATACCACAAACCGTCGTGCAGAACCTAAAAAAGAACAGGACACCTCTGTGTCTAGCAATACGGAAAAATGCCCATAAGCAAAGCAAATCAATGTGTGCTATGGGTTGAACAGCATTCCCTAAAAAAAGATTATGAAGTCCTAACCTCCAGTACCTGTGAATGTCAGGTGACCTTATTTGGAAGAGGCTCCTTGGAGATGGTCAAGTTAAGGTGAGGTCTTAGGGTGGGCCCTAACCCAGAGACTGATGTCCTTGTAAAAGCAGAAAATGTGAACACAGAGACACAAACACAGGGAAGACGCCTCGTGAAGGTGAAGGCTGAGATTGGGGTGATGTGTCTATAAGCCAAGGAATGCCAAAGACTGCCAACAACCACCAGAAGGGAGAAACATGGGACAGAACCTTCCCTCGCAGCTCTCAGAAGAAATCAACCCTGATGACACCTTCATCTCAGATTTCTGGCTTCCAGACTGAGACAGTAACTTTGTTATTCAAGTCTATGACTCTCTGTTACTGCAGTCCAAGGAAACTAATATCTCACTTATATTTTTAAAAACAAAATTATGCACATACAAACAAGCACATAAAAAAGGTCTAGATGGTGGGGTGTGTCTCACCATGAGCTATAGCTCTGGACTCCCGCAGGGAAGGAGCAGGGATGTGAGTGAAGGGAAAGGGATTTCACGTCCATGCTAAAAACGTTCATCAAGTGAGGACTGAGAAGGGTATTGTAGATATGACCTACATATCTTCTCGTCCTCATTCCCGTGCTAACCGACCCCAACTACCTTCTGCTCCCAGCAAAGCAGAAGTTCCTTTTGGCTCAGAGGACCCTTTCGGCTGTTCCCGGCACTTACTGAGTTTCCACTTGTGGCCTCCTCGTCCAGGTAGGAAGGTGGCATCTGGACCTTGCTGAGCACTTTGAAACATGTCTTCAGGGCATGCGTGAGTTCAGGTAAGCTTAAAGCCTCCATGTCCTCAGCCAGAGGCTGCACCAGGCAGGCGAGCACCTGCGGCAGGTACTGGGTTTGCACCTCAGAGTAAAGTTCCTGCGAAATAAGGACGGGTTTAACGAACGTGGTTTCAGCTTACAATCACCAGGGAAAAATGCACCTCATGATGGCGTCTTAGAAAGTTCATTTTTTTAGAGCATAAGGAAGTTTCATGTGAATTCCCAAATCAGAAAATAAAATACTATTTCTTTTTGATTTGGACAAATCAATGAACTTTCGTTCTCTCCTTTCTAGTGGCTTTACCCTTTCGAAAGAAAATCACTGCCACATTTATTTCTACACTGCGGACACTTGTTTCCTTTGAGAAAAGTGGCCAAATACAGAAGTTTAAGTAGGAAATACATTTCACTCCCACTCCTAAGTAACTGTAGTATAGGATCATGCCCACTTCACCATCTGGCTTACACAACTTCAGCCCGGCCCATTTATAGCTGGCTCAAAAATTATAACCCCTTTTAAATAAGACACAAAGATATGAGAGATTACGACCAGCTATGTCTTCCATGCTGAAAGATACATTAAAACAGTGCTGTGTATTCAAGTAAAACTATTTTTTTAGTAAGTTTAGGTTTACTAAACAAGCAACAACACTAATGACAGTGTAACAGCAAGCGTCAAGCCATCCTCCACAGCTAAGGGCCTTACCAAGGGAATGACATCCAGAAGGAACACAAGGAGGGTGCAGAGCTCAGAGACCGTCGGGGGAGGGCTGACGCTCTTCCCGATGGCGGGACTCTGCTTCTCTGGTCTACAGAAGGCCCAGGAAAAAAAAAACAGGTCAATTCTTTTTCCTATAATAATTTTAAGCATTTATTTTTTTTAAGTATGTTTTTATTGTTTTTTTTAGATAGAGAGGAAGGGAGAGAGAGAGAGAAACATCCATGTGAGAGAAAAACATGGATCAGCTGCCTCCTGCACGCCCCCTACTGGGGATCAAGCCCACAACCTGGGCATGTGTCCTGACTGGGAATTGAACTGGGACCTCTCAGTCCATGGGACGACGCTCAACCCACTGAGCTGGGCTCAAACATTTCTTTAATTTTTGATAAAACTACTTATTCTATTTCAAACACAATTAAAGACAGCTTCTATAGTTCCAATCATTAAACTTTGGTGCCTAAAATCTCCTAACAAAGAGAAGTATCAGTAAGTATCTTATATCTGCTTATTTCAAAAACGGGTTCACTCTACCGTGAAATTCATCAGTTCAGATAAGGGTGGTCCATGCCCACGTGGGATCCACAGCCAGCAGATCTGAAGTGCTGTCAATGGCAACAATTCCAGGCCAACAACCCAGACCAAAAGCCTGTTCCCAGGGAAGGAGCTTGGCTAGAGCACAGCGCGGGCCGAGCACCTGTCAACTTGCTGAAGGAGCAACCTGACCCGGCGCTCCTGGTAACACCAGAGCTCATCCACAGCTGGAGAACTGCTCAGGAGTCTTCAGCTTCCACAGAGCAGTGCATCTCTTCTGCTTGATGCTATTGAGAGCTGCTTACCTAGCACTGAAACTCAACACTTCTTTTTAAGAGTAGACAACTTGCCCTGGCTGGTTCAACTCGGCGTTTAGTGTGTCAGCCCTCGGACCGAAGGGTCTCAGGTTCAATTCCTAGTCAAGGGTATGTACCTGGGTTGCATGTTTGATCCCCGGCCCTGGTCAGGGTCGTTCAGGAGGCAACCAATCAATGTATCTCTCTCATATTGATGCTTCTCTCCCTCCCTCTCTCTCTCTCTGTCTCCCCCATCATTCTATCCAGAAATCAATGGAAAAATATCTTTGGATGAGGATTAACAACAAAAAAATAAATAAAAATACTCCCTAGAGTTCACCACCACTTGCGATTTTGAGCTGGTGTAATTCACTAGATTCAAAGTGATATAAAGCTGATTATAGTAGCTTAACACATTAACGCTTTTATCTGACGAATTATACACTGATTTCAATAAGGATTTAAGGAGACAGATAATTTCAAACATACTCTATCCAGTCACAGAGACACAAACTTAAGCTTCTTTCACAAATAAAACCTCCAAGAGAACTGTGTGAAGAAAGCGGATTTCATCAGGGTAACTAGAAAACACACCGGGGATTTCCTAAAGTTTGACTTTAAGAAATGAAGAAGCTTCAGAATTATGTGGCAAAGATGATGTGAACCTTCTTAATGACAACGCTTTTTTATTCTATTACAATTTTGAGGGAATTCTTTCCAACTGTGCACTCGGCAGAGGCCACCCAACTTTAGCCAGTATGTGTAATCTGACCACAATAAGCAGCTACAACACCACGAAACCCTCTCATCCTTCCTAAATAGTAATTTCCTAAACTGGACACTTACCTAAAGCAATCCTCAAAACACCTGGTCACATAATCCCAGAGGAAGTCTGTGCTCAGGGAAGTGATCAGCAAATTCACCGTTTTAACGATCTCGGAGGCATTTCTGTTTTCTTTTATTGTACTGCAAAGGAAGAGGGGTATTTATAAATATATCTGAAAAACCCTGTATGACAAGAACACCATGTCTGAAAAGCTAATTCACTTTACCATTTACAACTTATTTCTAGAGGAACTGATAAACTCGGTTAAAGATAAAAATATTACTAAGGCCCTGGGGGTAGCTCAGTTGGTTAGAGCATCATCCTGATACTCCTAGGTTGCAGATTCGATCTCCAGTCAGGACACATACAAGAAGCAACCAAAGAATGCATCAATAAGTGGAACAACAAACTGCAATCTGTCTGTCTCTCTCTCAAAATCAATAAACAACATTAAAAAAGAGAGATAAAAATATTACTGTTCTTCTATAGGAAAGAGCATGTATAATGCCACCCTAAACACTACTGACATAGTCTCTTAGAAATAAGCTTAAGAACTATCATAAAAAAAGCCCGGCCAATGTGGCTCAGTGGTTGAGCATTGACCCATGCACCAGGAGGTCTCCGGTTTGATTCCCGGTCAGGGCACATGCCTGGGGGGTGGGGGGGGCATGCAGGAGGCGGCCAACCGATGTTCTCTCTCATTGATGTTTCTGTTTCTCTCCCTCCCCCTTCCTCTCTCTCTCTTAAAAAAAAAAAGAACTATCATAAAAAGAATGTGATATAGCAAACCAGTTGTTACAACTGCCGGCAATGAGATGCTCCACTGGTGGAACACCATGGCACAATCGTTCAGGAGGCAACGGGGCTGACATTTTAATGTGCATCTTCTATGACTCAGGAAATTTACTCTAGGGATTTATCCTGCACAAAGCTTTGCACACAAAGATGTGTGCACAAGGATACCACTGCAAGGTCATTAAAGATACTGGGAAAGTGGAAACCACTTAAAAATCAGTAAGAGAATGGCCAGTCAGAATTTCTTAAATAAGTGATAAATTCTTACCAAGGAATCTAAGACAACCATTATATTCCACAAGAGAGAACAGAAGAGTATAATGGAATTATGGGTGATGCCTTTTTTCTTGATATCTTCAAATATTGCTATAGTCTACAATGAGCATGTACTGTTATACTCAGAAAAACAATAAACTAGTTGGGGAGAAAAAAGCAAACACTAAGAATTTTTGGTACACTTACAATTAAAAAACAGAAAAATCTTCTAATTGATTTAAATTTTCAGTATACTCAATGCCAATTCAAGCAGAAGGAAATTATATCAAGAGAAAAATAGTAAGAAAGAACTTTGTACTATCTTAAAAAGAACAAAAACTAAACAAAACAGGGCTGATAGATAACTAGACACTTTAAGTCAATGAGTCTGCTCTCTCTCAAAACCCACTCCCCCTGCCCTCAGGGTGCTGCAGCACATGCCCTGGGGTGACCTCACTTTGACCCCCATACAACTCATCTCTCGAAGACTCATGTCCCTGGGCTCCACTTCCTAACCTTATCCCCCTCCCATTCGCCCTCCTGTCTTAACCCACTACTTGGGTAATCTAGATCCGGCTGCCTCTGTTGAACACTTCTCATACTTGACCAATAAATATGGTTTGTACTTCCCAGGCTAGGGCAGAGACTAGATGAAACTCCTTTTAAACTCCTCACAGTATTCAATAGGAAACAGTCAATTCATGTTGATGACTTATCGTTACGATAACATATGCTGTCTTTCCACCTTCCTAGAACTTCATCATTTATGGTAAACAACAGAGAAACAAAACCATAGCATTAGGGAGGGGGGAAGAGTGTAAAGTTGGGGGCCAAACCCAGACCTGACCAGCAGATTTCCACTCTGGGTGTAGCTGAGTTGAAGATCAGAGCCGAGCGCATCTCTGCAGTAGGAATAAAAGGCCCGGATGACTTCAAGAAACAAATCCCCAACCACCTGAGGCCCTGCAATTAAAAAGAAAATGGCCAGCAAAAGATTAACAATCCATTTAAAATCAATAAATCACACACAATGAAATGTATACAGCAACCCTGTATATACAATTCATGTTGTCTAAAATGCACTTAAAGTTGTGGTGATGGCAGCTTTAGCTGAGGATTAACATCCCTGAAAATGGTCAATATTTTTGTAGAGCTTACTATGTTTTGGACACTGTTCTAAGCATTTTATATCTATTAACTTATTTAACCCTCATAGCAGCCACATGACCAGGTGCCATCTTCTGTCCTGATTACGGAGAAGGAGACTGAGGCAGAGTTCAGGTCATGTAAAGCCAGATTCTGCTGGGTGGAGCCAGGTTGTATGGGCAATGGTGTTTATGGTTTTTAAATAATTTTTTATTGGATTTATTGGGGTGACATTGATTAAGTATGCACAATGATTCAAATGTGCATAAACTGCTTGGCCAGAGACATTATTCAATATAAACACAACTCAAAATTCTTTTAATCATGAGCTAGAACCACAAAAGAAAACACCAATCCTGAAAAGCTTATGAAGGCGGCACGAAGACCTGGACCAGCTGCATGCTGGAGAAGCACTGTGTCCAATTAGGCAGCTGCAAGGCAGCCAGACATTTCTGCTCCAAAACAGCAACCATCAGACAGTGAGGAAGGACTCTCGCCCATGTACACAGGGGGATGAACACAGGATTGACTCAGAGAAAAAGAGGGTTGTCAATAGTGTGTAAGAACAATCAGCAGCCCAGGCCGGTTTGGCTCTGCGGGTAGAGCGTTGGCCCGTGGACTAATGAGTTGTGGGTTTGATTCTGGTCAAGGGCACGTACCTCAGCTGCAGTTCATCCCTGGCCCTAGCTGGGGTTGTGCAGGAGGCAACCAGTCGATGTGTCCCTCTCACATCAATGTTTCTCTCTCCCTCCCACTCTATGTGAACAAAAATGGAAAAATATCCTCGGGTGAGGTAATGAGTAGATAGATAGATAGATAGATAGATAAAAGCAATCAGCAGATGATGCCTTTTATCTTCAGCATAAGAATGCTGAATTCTTTTTTACAAGTAAAGGCAGGTTTGCTGTCCCAGTTAGTGGAGGCAGCGGCTGAATCCTCAGTGCAGAAGAGCAGACAAGACTGAAGGCCCGTCCTGTGCCTTCTCGTTCTGCACTGTCCAGTCCTTTGCCTCTCAAGTGTGTCTTCCCTCAGACAACTAAATGATCAGTTAGAGCAAAGTAAACGACCGTTATGACTGGGCAGAAGCCTGCCATTTATCCCTTCCAGAAAATAGGACCAGGAGCCAAGGTGAGCAGCGATGCCTTAGTCGGCTGAGGGCATACGGCTGTGACATTAACACCTATCTCCAAAATGCTAACTTACATTTTATTCTTTGAGTACTTCCCCAAGTTACACAGCAAGCTCCCAACACAGTTATGTAAGTCATTTCATTTTTCAGACTAAACCGTGGCTTTTCAGAGCTGCAGTCAGTCTTCGCTGAGAGAAGAATCTACTGGACCAGTGCTGGGTGACCGAGGCAGGGGAGCTGGGGGGTAAGAGGGAAAGTCTGCACAATGCACAGGGACCTGTAGGTAGCACTAAGGGCGGACTCTGGGGGAACAGACACTTCAGGCTTTGACTCTGGACAGGGGTAGCTAGAGCCGCCCATGTCACGCGACCCAAGTTCATCTGTGCTCCCTGAGTAATGTCTCGGAGAAGGTGTCAGAGCACCTTGAGATACACAGCAGTGTCTTCTCAAAGGAGCTTTGGCTCTGGAGTCGAATGCACCGAGTTTTAATCCCAGCTCCTGGGTGGCCTCAGGCAAATGACTTACCATTGTTCAACCTTAGTCTCTCCATCTGTGAAATGGGTACAGTAAGAAAACCCATCTTAGGGTTGTTGGCGGCCTGGAGGTATGGTATGTATGGAGCTGTATATTGCTCAAGAAACATCAGCCGTTATTAGTAACAGCAGCAAAAAAACACCAGGGCCTGAGTCTCCCTTCCTTCTGATTTGGAAGCTGTTTTTCCTTTGTTCCACTAGAGCCTAGATCAGCCCTGCCGCACGGGGATGCCCCACGCCTGTCTCTCAGGGAGTAGGCAGAAGTCTCCATCCTGAGGCCAGAGGGACGAGGAAACACAACCAGACGGAGGGCACAGCTGAGCACCCAGACAGCGCCATCAGTCGAAATCCCATGGAGAAGATGAGGATTTTCTTCCCCACTGGTGCTCAAGTGATCAGATGCCAAGATCACGCAGCGAATTGAAACTGCAGCATTTGTCTTTAAAGCGAGGGAGAGAGAAGGTCACTTTTCTCAGCTGATGCTCATAGGACCACAGTGGGTAGGGGAGGGTCCTTTAGGAGCCAGAGTCTAGTTCACTCTTCACTGACACAGGAGAAGACTGAGGCCCAAATGGCAGAAGCGACTTGCCCAGGGTCACAAGGCAAAAAAGGTGAAGGGGGGTCCGCTATGCTCTTGAAAATAAAATCAAAGCTCATCTAAAGTACGACATTTGACTGAAGAAGTGTTCTCACAAAGTCAATCCTGTGCGTGCTCGGTAGGCACCTCCAGGGCCATGCACAGCAGGAGCTCAAAGGTATTTTCCTGACAGAAATGTTCAAAACTTTTGTGTAAAACTTTTTTTGTTTTGTTTTTTTATCCTCACCTGAGGACATTTCTGCATTTATCTTCAGATAGAGCGGGAGGGAGAGAGGGAGGAAGAGAGGGAGGAAGAGAGAGGGAAACATCGATGAGAGAGACACATTGACTGACTGCCACTCACACGACCCCAACTGGGGCCGGGGACAAACTACAACCGAGGTCCGTGCCCTTAGCGGGAACAGAGCCCGGGACTCTCTGGTCTGCAGGCCAACGCTCTAACCGCTGAGCCAAACAGACCAGGGTTTGTGTAAAACTTTTAAGTGGTGCCCAGATATGATAACTGAACCCTATAACATGAATAAAGTACTTCACGATTCTGAAGTTCCGAAGATAAATTTCATTTGAAGTGGCGTGCTGACTGCACCTCATGTGTTTTAATTCCCTGAAAAAGGCAGTCTGTGTGGCACACGGTGTGGAACAGGGTTTCCAACGGTACCTATTTCCGGCTTGTCCAGCAGACTGATGAGGATGCGGAAAGGCCTCAGGTATGCTGAGTGGCGTTCCTCGACATCAGCATCTGAGAACTCCTGGTGCAACAACTCAGCCAGGCCCTATTTTTTTAAAAGAAGAGCCACATATTAGGATATTGTATGCAGTAAAGTATGACATCATACTGGTGGTGCTCTTGAGACAGAAAGAAAAGCAGGTGCACGGCATGGAGGACACAGAATTACCTGTGCACCAAGGAACATGCCCGATGTCTATCTACTTTGGGACCCGCGGGGAAATACACGGAAGCACATGATCAGGAATTGGGGTTGACTTTCCAGAAGTGCTCCTTTACCTCAACTAAAAGATCCTTGGAATACTTTTCAAAAAAATATGAGGACTGGTCTTCATAAGAATTTAAGATTTCGGATTCCGGCACAATAGTATTTCCTTTGATATCTGAACCTATAAAAGAACAAGTATTGTGAGCTGTAAATAGATCTACACTTATAAAGAACATCAGATTATGCAAAGGTCTCATGCTACAATATTTCTAAAAATATAATTCCTCCAGCAGGAAACAAAACCAGATCCAGCAAGATTAAGGCACATATTCTGGCAGTGGTGTGCTAAGGGCCAGACAGACAGAATGCCATCTCAATGGGCACCAATTTAGTCTGTCCCAAGAGTTCAGCCCAATTGTCAGTGACAGGTGTGATTACCAGGATCTAATGTAATAAGCATTATTTTTAAAAATCAGTGTTTCTTTGTACAGCATTATGTGAAATCAAGGTATTCTCATCTGTACGTCCTTCTTTTGAGCCCTGGGCAACTCTGTGAGGTCCTCAGGGCCAGGAACAGCATCCTCAGTACAGGCACAGAACCCGAGGCTCCTGGGCTGTGGCTAAGGGATCGAATAGGCGCAGAACTCGGTACCTGGGTCCTCACTGTACACAGCAAGACCAGCCCCACTAAGAGGGAGCTATGCATTTAACAAAATCATCCTTTTGATAAAAAATGCTTAAAGAACCTGTAAGTATTTATCTTGAAATGCTTTATAAGCTTCCATGCGATGACTTCTGAAACTGTTACAATAACTAGGGGAAGAGAGGGAAGAAAGAGTCAAGACGACTTTCTGCCTTTGGTGCAATAAGATGTATGTGTTGGGGGGTAATAAAAGCTGTGAAGCCCTGGCCGTTTTAGCTCAGCAGTTACAGCCGTCAGCCCCAGGTCTGAAGAGTTTCAGGTTTGATTCCCGGTCAAGGGTACGCACATCGGTTGCGGGTTCCATCCTTGGCCCCGGTCAGAGTTGTTCGGGAAGCAACCAATCTATGTGTGTCTCTCACACTGGTGTGTTTTTCGCCCTCTCCCTCCCTCCCATTCTATCTAAAAAAATGGAAAAATATCCTCGGGTGAAAATTAGATAAATAAATAAATAATACAAGCTGTGAAGCACGGAGGATTTGAGGCAGTGAAACTGCTCTGTATGATACCATGTCTGTGGATACATGTCGTCACATTTGTCCAAACCCACCAAATGTTCCACAAGAGTGACCCCTAATGGAAACTGCAGACTCTGGGATCATACATGTCAGTGTAGGTCCATCAGCTGTAACAGATGTCCCACTCCAGAGGTCATGTTGGTGATGAGGAGGCTGTGTGTGTGCAAGAATGAGGGGTATGGGAAATCTCTGCACCTTCCTCTAAATTTTGCTGTGAGCCTGAAACTGCTCTAAAAAAATAGTTGTTTAAAAAAAAAATAAAAAGCTGTAGAGTCCTTTCACAATTTCCTTGTACGTTATCTTTTCTTAGGTACACGGATATGGGAATTTAGAAAATTCGTGAAAACGCTACCCTTTCAGCCTGTGACGTCCTGGACCCTGTCCCTGTGAAGCCTGCCGACCAAGAGTCAGGGCTCTTTTCCTACAAGTTTATAGGCTGTAAACCATAAAAACCTGCCCCGAGTCTTCACGCTCTCCCAGTCATCCGGGTGCCTCCCACACATCACTGTGCCACACACGTTCCCATCCATGAAAACCTTCTTCCCCACACAGGCCACCTCTGTGGGTTTTCTCTCACGTACCCTCACCCTGTGAAACTCTGCATTGCACCTGGCTTCTACTCGAATGCGGTTTAGCTCTAGCTTTTGTGATATTTCAAGCTCCTTAAAATGGAATTCAGTTAGCATTTTTAAAATTTCATTTACTATCTCCCTGTTTTTAAAGTAATAGCTGCAAAATAACCACAACTTCGATGTGGGTGGCAGAACCCAGCTGCCCAGTGTCATACACACTAGATTAGGTTTTCACATGTCAGGACTCAGAAATGTGCAAATGAGACAGAAATTTATGGCAAAATCAACATGGAGAGGTTTCCCTCGAACTCTCAGTTGTGTACTTTGCAGTACCCAGTAACCACGCGTAAAGCCTTCTGTTCAGAGACATATCTCTTCTCAGCAGGGTCTGGCTGGCAGCTGAGAGAATCCGAACGATGTCGGGTCTGAGCAGGGGGATGGCTCTCTCCTGGGAATCCTATCGCGAGGACAGAGGAGATGGTCGAGTGAGTACCCATTTTCGACATGTGGCCCTTCCTTACAATCTCCAGAGCTTTCTCTCTACAAGGCAGTTCTCCCCCGGGCCCAGGGACAGAAGCTATTCCCTTTTTGCTACGTGATCACCAGCCTCACAAAAGTGAACAAGGACCTTTCAGAGGCTGAAAGCAAATGGTGATCACCGAGTGGCTGCTCAGCTCCCGAGACAAACACCTGAGGCCTGCCTTGCCCACCCCCCTCCGTGGCAAATACCAGTGACTTCTCTGCAAGAACACAATCGACTCACCAGACAGGTATAGAACGGGAAGAAGAAGAGAACGATTTCCAGGTTATTTCTTTGCACCAGAACATTGGAGTCCAACAGTGATGCGCATAAAGCCTTTACCTATAAATGATAAACGATATGGACGTTTTATTCCCAAAACCTTTAACATCATTTGCAGGCTACTCTGTTTTCTTTCTCTTATCCTCACCCAAGGACATTTTTTGCATTTATTTTCAGATAGAGGGAGAGAGGGGAGAGAGAGAGAGAGAGAGAGAGAGAAAGAGAGAGAGAGAGAGAGAGAGAAAGAGAAACATCGACGTGAGAGAGACACATCGACTGGTCGCCACCCATAAAATCCCAACTGAGGCCGGGGACAAACAGCAACCGAGGCACGCACCCTTAGCGGGAACCGAACCTGGGCCTCTCTGGTCCGCAGGCTGATGGTCTAACCACTGAGCAAAACCAGCCAGGACCTGCAAGCTACTCTTTAGTCATAGAAATGAAAGTAACTTTTCCAGGAACTTGAAACGGCCGTGTTACATCATGAAGAACAGAACCGGTATAAATGTTCGAAACCTGGGTTCCAGTTCCAGATGCTAGGGGCTGTGGGAAGCCAGTAAGCTGCAGCCCTCACTTGCTTGTCTCAGAGTTGGAGGGATTTGGACCAGATGGTAGGGTTCTATGATTCCAGAAGGAATGTCTTTAGGTTCCAATAGAAACGTTCAGATAAACTCATAATCCAAAGACATTCTGTCAAATGGACACCAAACCAATTAAGTACCTTGAGTGTCTTTTCTGAATACAAAAGATATAATACAGTTGTATAATAGATGATGACAGCTCTAAGTCAAATGCCAATAAAAAGCTATGAAAATTCAGAAGGGAGGGAGAGATCTTTCTTCTGGAAAAACAATGAAACTTAGTGGGAAAGCTGAGCCTGAAGGACATAAAGCATCTGCATTGAGACCTCTGGAGAAGAGACCCTGGGCAGTGAGTGCCGGAGGGGACATCGGGAGCAAACACAGCATCCCAACCGCCAGAGGCCAGACTGGGAAGTGGCTCTGGGAGTGGAGGGGGCTTGAAGGGGAGAGTTAGGTATTGGTGGGTTGGGAGCAGATTGCTAAGAATAGTTTTGAGTTTGGACTTTAAGCTACAGGAAGCCAGATAATTTTCAAGCACAGTGTGGACATAAGCAACTCTATGCAAATCTCAGTAGTTGAACGGGAGAGGATGGGTTGAGAACGGGAAGGGGAGAAACCAGTTAGAAATTATGTTATAGCCCTGGCCAGTTTGGCTCAGCAGTTAAAGTGTCCGCCTGTGGACGAGATTCCCACCAAGGGCACGTACCTTCATTGCAGTTTGTCCCTGGCCCTGGTTGGGGTCATGCGGGTGGCAACCAGTCAATGTGTCTCTCTCACATCAATGTTTCTCTCTGCCTCTGTCTCTCTCTCACCCTCCCTCCCTCCCTCCCACTCTGCCTGAAGATAAAAGTAAAAGAAAATACCCTCGCGTGAGGATAAAAAAATAGAAAGAAATTATATTATAGTCTGGAAGCAAGACTGAAGAAGTTGGAGTAGGGCCATGAAAATGGAGAGAAAGATGGAAATGGTACTGATGGGGCGGGAGAGAAGGAACATATTTATGAAGCTCTCCTGTGCCCTAAGCATTGTGCAGGTGCTTGTCATCAATCTCTTCACTTAGCCTCAGAGGACTCTGAGGAAGATCTATTATCCCCACATTGCAAAGACCAAGAGGCCCAGGGGGAAGTAATTCACAGCAAGTGACAGATCTTACTATGGAACTTTCAACATTTTAAGTTCCAAGCGTGAGTGCACCACTAGGTGGCGATAGATAGCAGGCCGTTAAACACACAGGAGACAAAGACCTGGGACGTTCTGTTTTTTTTTCAGGTCATGAGAAGAAGGCTTGTCACTACCAGGGAAGAGTGCTGTCCTCAAAGGGACAGGGGACAGACACCTGAGGAACCTCTGACAATTTAGGTCTGAGAGCAGCCAGAGGAGAGGATGTGGCTGGGGAGGGACCTTCTCGGTGGCCTGAGGAGAGGCGCCCCACGTGTGGGCAGTGGGCAGTGACGCAGGGCACAGGAAGAAAACCAGGTCTTATAAAGCAGCCGAGGCCCTGGCCAGTTTGGCTAAGTGGTTAGAGTGTAGGCCTGCGGTCCAGAGAGACCCGGGTTTAGTTCCCGCTAAGGGCACGTACCTCGGTTGCAGTTTGTCCCCGGCCCTGATTGGGTCATGCAGGTGGCAACCACTCGATGTGTCCCTTTCACGTCGCTGTTTCTCTCTCTCTCTCTCCCTCCCACTCTATCTGAACCAAAAATGGAAAAAAATGTCCTCGGGTGAGGATAAAAAGAAAGAAAACAGATGAAATGAAAGCAGCCGAGGCCCTGTGCAAGGCTCTCCGGGACTGTACAGCTAACCACACTGCCTCCAGAGCGCCCTCCCTGGCTGTGGACAACACTTACTTGAATATCTGCACCGTAATGCATACGTTAAAAACAAGTCCCACCCTGGGTTTCCTTGTGCATGAGGACACCTCCCCCTTGTCCCTTTGTAGCCCCAGTGACAACCTGTGCCTGCGTCTCCCAGGGGCCCCCACAACGCCAGCAAGGAGCGGAGCACCCACCGTGAGCTGGTAATCTGTCCCCAGCATGTACTTCTGCTCCTTGCCAGGTGAGTCCCTGCTGATGTGACCCACGACAAAGAGCGAGGCAGGCAGGCGGATGGACGGGCTCGCCAGGACACTACCCCAAAGGGCAGCATAAAACACTTCTTTGCCGACCACCAGGGACAGTCTCAGGAGCAGAGCATCTGTTCTGTGGACAAGAAATCACAGAATTTAGGAGCTGGGTCCCCGAGTGCCTGAGTCTCACTGCTGCTCCGTGGATGCTCTGTGAACAGCCCAGCTTATGCTCCCTGGCCACAGAAACACCAGCGTCCTCACCACTCTGAGCTGCTGCCACCTCTTTGTTTGTCCACCTGCCGCTGTCACTGAAACTGGATTTGCTCAAACACACATATTCTGAGGGTTACAGCTTCTTGCCAGCAGACAGCATGTATGGGCTGTGTCACCGCAGCACCAAGATCTGGCTCCGTGGACACCTTGCTGCTTTATAGGAGGGTGGGGCCGCCACCAGAAAGCGGACAGGCAGAGCTTATCAAAGCATAAGGAGTCATTAAGGTGTCGAAAAAAGGTTATTGTGACTGATTGGAGACTTTAATAATGATAAACATGCTTTCAACTTGAACACAGCGAAAAATGTGTCAAGTAACATCTGCCTTCAGAAACACTGGGGATAGCCCTCGCTGGTTTGGCTCAGCGGTTAGAGCGTCGGCCTGCGGTCCAGAGAGACTGGTGTTCGGTTCTCACTATGGGCATGTACCTTGGTTGCAGTTTGGCCCCGGCCCTGGTTGGGTCATGCAGGTGGCAGCCAGTTGATGTGTCCCTTTCACATTGATGTTTCTCTCTCTCTCCCTCCCACTCTATCTGAACAAAAAAAAAAAAGAGAGAGAGAGAGAGAAATACTGGGGATAAAATCTGCCGGGGCCTCCCACTGCACTGCAAGTTGTATCAAGCCTTGTATCAAGCCTTGTATCAAGCCTGGGACGGTGTTTTTTGTCACTGTGTCCACAGCACCTCCACACACTGACTCCCACTCCAGGAAGCTCTCCTGCCGTGGCTGACACACTCATCTCTGTCTGTATCTAGGTCTCTCCCATGACACGTCAGCAGCTTCACATAGGTCCTTTAAGAGAAGGGTCAGGGCTTGTTTTCTCCCTGACACCGACCGGGCCAGCCCTCCTGTGCTCGGTGCTGCACCTGCAGCTGACTAGGGCACCGCCCCTGTCAACAGTGAAGACAATGCTGGCGGGCTGGGTGACAGCATCTGCCAATAAAACAGCAGAGGCCCATCCCTACAAAGGGACTCCACTTAATGAGCGATGTGACTCAGAATCCCGAAGGGTTCTTATGTGCTTCCTATTTACAAATTAGAAAACAGTCACAGAAGGACCGGCCTGGTGCAATGTGGTGGTCTATCAGGTGTCTAAATCCTGTGTCTGCTTCCTGGCTGTGGTCCCCAGGGAAAGTTGAACCTCTGTGCACATCAGCTTTCACTACGAGATGGGGAAAGAGATGGAGATGTGGTGAGAACGAAGGGCAATCCCCTACTGTTACTGCTAGGTCAGCTCTGCTTGCCGACATGTCCCTGGTACCCAGGTGAGTGTCTGACACAGGTGGCACTGGAAACTACTATCAGACGAAAGCCACTCTTTCCGTGTTATTATTACTCAAACTGTCTTCAGCTTACATTTCAATAACCAGTTCAGTGTTTACAAAAACCTTTCAGACAAAAAACTTACTACCTTTTTACATTAAAAATGAATTCTAGTCTCCTTAACACTAGTCTGAGCCTTGTTGTCTAATACAACTTATTATATTGATAACTTTATTACTAACACTTTGTTTAATAATAGTTGTAGCACACGATGCATCCTATTACACCTTCTCAGAAAAAACAAAGATGAAGGGGCCTGAGGAACAGCCGAGTGTTTAGGGAAAGCACCCAGAATGGCTCAGCAGCTGAGGGTATCAACTGGTCTTGCAGCAGGGCTGAGCAAATAGAACTGATCTCTGCCCAGCTCTGGGAAATGCAGCAAAGGCCTAATTCTGGGCACAAGCAACACTCAGAGGCTGCAACTGCAGTAAGTTGAGCAGATGGGTCCTGTCCCCCACACAGACAGGATGGTCCTGAGCTAGGACGAAATTAAATCAGGAAGCCCCAGAGTGCTCCTCTCCCCAGGATCCCTCTCACGGGCCCCAGAGTGCTCCTCTCTCTCCAGGATCCCTCCCACGGGCCCCAGAGTGCTCCCCTCTCTCCAGGATCCCTCTCACAGGCCCCAGAGTGCTCCTCTCCCCAGGATCCCTCTCACGGGCCCCAGAGTGCTCCTCTCTCTCCAGGATCCCTCCCACGGGCCCCAGAGTGCTCCCCTCTCTCCAGGATCCCTCTCACAGGCCCCAGAGTGCTCCTCTCCCCAGGATCCCTCTCACGGGCCCCAGAGTGCTCCTCTCTCTCCAGGATCCCTCCCACGGGCCCCAGAGTGCTCCCCTCTCTCCAGGATCCCTCCCACGGGCCCCAGAGTGCTCCTCCCACCCTCCCAGGATCCCTCTCACGGGCCCCAGAGTGCTCCTTTCCCTCCAGGATCCCTCTCTCGGGCCCCAGAGTGCTCCTCTCCCTCCAGGATCCCTCTCACGGGCCCCAGAGTGCTCCTCTCCCTCCAGGATCCCTCTCACGGGCCCCAGAGTGCTCCTCTCCCTCCAGGATCCCTCTCACGGGCCCCAGAATGCTCCTCTCCCTCCAGGATCCCTCTCACGGGCCCCAGAGTGCTCCTCTCTCTCCAGGATCCCTCTCACGGGCCCCAGAGTGCTCCTCTCCCTCCAGGATCCCTCTCACGGGCCCCAGAGTGCTCCTCTCTCTCCAGGATCCCTCTCACGGGCCCCAGAGTGCTCCTCTCTCTCCAGGATCCCTCTCACGGGCCCCAGAGTGCTCCTCTCTCTCCAGGATCCCTCTCACGGGCCCCAGAGTGCTCCTCTCTCTCCAGGATCCCTCTCACGGGCCCCAGAGTGCTCCTCTCCCTCCAGGATCCCTCTCACGGGCCCCAGAGTGCTCCTCTCCCTCCAGGATCCTTCTCACGGGCCCCAGAGCGCTCCTCTCCCTCCAGGATCCCTCTCACGGGCCCCAGAGTGCTCCTCTCCCCAGGATCCCTCTCACGGGCCCCAGAATGCTCCTCTCTCTCCAGGATCCCTCTCACAAGAAGGCCAGTGCTGTGCCAAACCCATCACAAATACTGCAACACACACACACTATGACACCCTCCTTTGCTTACAACTTGGTATTCCCAAAGTGTGTTCTATGGAACAATGGCCACTCGAGCTGATCCACTGAAGAGGGGTTCCACTGTCACAAAGCCTGGGAAATGTCACACATGCTGTCCCTTCTTCAATATTCAGAGTATACTGGCTAGTTTTCTTTATTAAATAAACACAACTTTAAGTTTCATTTTTTTAAAAACTGATTTTGAGAGAGAGAGAGAAACATGGATCAGCTGCCTCCTGCACGCACCAACCAGGGATCGAACTAGCAACCTAGGTATGTGACCTGACTGAGAATCGAACCTGCATCCTTTTGGTGTGCGGGATGACGCTCCAACTGAGCCACCCGGCCAGGACAAATTCCATTTTATTCTGAAAAAAAACTTAATGGGTATTAAGAATTTAAGAGATGCTACAGTTCTGAAAACAGCAATTATGATGACATTGCAATGGAGAACAAAGTAAAAATCAAGGTAACTGGAGTGAACAGCTACGTAATCTACTAAATAAGATTCCCTTATCATCTCAGCTGTGAAATTATAAAATGAACGTGTCCAGTTCAGAGCCCAGAACTCTAATCTTTTCTATTCAAAACCAAACAAAAACAGAACCAGACCCCAAACCCCACTAATTCCATCCTTCCTCATGTGTCCTGGCTGCTGCTCTCTGTGCCTCCTGCTAACACAAGCTCATTCAACTGCCACTGCCCTCTTTTCTCGGCTCAGCTGGGACAAGTGAGTGACATGGAGTCATGTGCCATGAGCCACAACCTTGGCTGAGCAGCCGCCTTGCCGATCAACAGTCATGGAAAACCGAGCTGTCACAACACGGAACAGCAGAGTGGTGACGCAGTATCCTGCACCATCACAGGTCAGACATCGTGTCCACCAAGGGGCAGAACACTCTAGAACCAGCAGAGCTCATCATGGTGCCTGGAATCAACCAAAAGAGAGACCAATGATATTTTCAATTCCTATGAAGTCAGGCTCTCTCAACCTGGACACTGTGGTCTCTGTTGCAGGATGGCTGCCAGCACCCACGAGATGCCAGGAGCACCTCCCCGCCCCAGAAATGTCTCCAGATATTGCCACATGTCCCCAGGCTGAGAACTACTGATCGCAATGAAAACACCAGGTGAGCAGTTCTGCTCACAACCATTAACAGTCACCTCTCCTCTGCTTCCTAAGAGAGGACCTGAGTACCTTCCCAGCTAATCTTGTTTTCTCAGTACAGAAAAACACAGCTATATAGCTACTGTATGGGCACTTAAAAAAGGAATTCTGGCCATGAGTAACTTGCAGGCATCCAAGGGTCAGAAAGCCAGTGTGAACAGTAAGAACTGACAATGGCCCAAATTCCCATTCCTTATGGCTCACTAACGAGCACAAACCAGGTGCAGGCTCAGCCTCCACGGAACTGTGGGTCACCTGCCTTCATGACCCACAGTTCATGACCTTCATGGCCCCACCTTAACTCACCCCCTTTGCATTTTCTGCCAACATGATATCATGACCCCACTACATCCTCCTTCTGCATCTTTGCAGTGTTTGCTAGGGATGTCTGACTCAATTCCGAGCACTTTGCAGAAGAAACAGCTGCAGAACTCTCTCAAACATGGATACACTGACCAAAAAAATCTGTGCAATCGCCTAGTTACTGTACCCACACGTAGCGCTCAGAGATTCTAGAACCCTCAGCCAGCATCTACAGCAAAAAGCAGATAAGGAATAACCTCTGGGTGCTGCAGACACTGAACCTGGTTTCCTGTCACAGCCAAACCTACTCAGTGATTCATGCAGCTTTACTCAGTTCTTGGTTCAACGTCAAGAAATCTCAATGTTAGGAAAAAATAGCTTCAGCAACTGTTCAGTGAACCCTCGTTTATCAACTAAAAGAACACGCAAAATCACCCTAACGACTGACATGCTTCTGGTGCCATTCTTACAGATTTTTTAAAAATGCAGTACATTTTGGGAACTAGTGTTCATCTTCAGACGATGGAAAAAGCCCTTGTACACATGTGCGCACACATGTGCACACTCACAAACATACACATATCTGTTTGAACAACATGAATGGGCCAGAACTTCTCGGAAGAACCTGGGTCGAGGAGTCAAGAGACAGAGTCTGGTAAAGGTCCTCTTGCTGACCCCTCTGTGGCCTTGACCTTTTATTAACCACACACCTGCCCAGCTCACCGTGTGCAGCCACAGGGCACGGTGGCCAGGCTTTGAAACTGCAGGGACACAGATGCCTCCTAAGGATGGATCCTAGTGCCTCCACCCACTGTGAACACGGATTCTCCACTGGGAACGCAAAGCTCCACCCGCTCGCTCTACAGGACAGCTAGGAACAGGCAAGTGCAAATTCCTGGTGAGCTGTCAAATCCCAGCACAGATCCTTATGATTTAAACTCGCCTTTGGTCACTAGCATATGCCCTCGAGTTGTTCTGATTATTTGGTTCCCTGGAGTTTAGGGGAGCACTCCAAGTAGACCTCGGACTGATTCCTTGATTCCACCCCTGCACCCACTCCCTAGTCACCACCAGCACAAAGGCAAAAGTGGGCGACTGGGGACTCTGGTGTGGAAACAACTGGAGCAGTGGGTTGTGTAATCAATGGAAACTATTGCAAGCACAAAGGTTTCTAAACCTCCCAGTCGGGCTGAACGGGATCTGAAAACAGAGCACATGAACAGAGGTCGGTCGCTATGGCATCACTCAGAACAGTTCCTCTGCTGGGAATGTGTTCTTACATTCAGTTCTCTGGAAAAACAAGACACTGTACATACTCAAGTCTGAATGGATCTACTCTCTCCCACTCCTAAGCAGTGACCAAAATACTTGCATGAACTTTTGTGTGCTTCAGCTTCACAAATTTCTCCAAGTGCTGCTAAAATGTGTCAAGCTATCTTGCTTAGCATCACCTTTCTGAGCCCCACCCATCAATGAAACCTGGCCTTGCTTTCCTACTGAGAAGTAGCCTAGAATGGCGGGGAGGAGGAGGACTGTGGGGTCTGCCATTTGTGGGTCAGAATCCCATCTGTCACCAAGGACTGTGAGACTCCCGAAGACCTTCTTGCCTCTCACCTGTAAGTGGAGGTACTCCCAGGAGAACACGTGCTTGGTCCAGCAGAGAGGAGCACGGAAGTGTACACCACCGGCCCATTTCTGCACGTTGCCCTGCTTCAGGCATCTCTGCACTTTTCCCCAGATTCTTACACAGCGGTGACAGAAGACACAGCACAGCTGAGACCCACCTGTCGTAGATCTCCGAGCCCTCCTCCAGGCCGGGCAGCAGGCCAGTGATGAAGGCCTGGAGACTGGGCAGGAGCAGCTTCTGCAGCGGGAGGAAGTACTTCTCATACAGGCCAAGCAGCACGGGCCTCACTGACATGGCTGCATGTGCCAGGAGAGGAAACAGCCCGCAGCTTTGGGGAAGAAGAGGGGCAGAGGGGTGAATGAGACACCTACTCAGAAATTCCAGATGATCAGCCAGCTGGCCGTCTACGCCTGCCTGTCCGAGATGGCCATGACACACCGTCAGCAAAGAGCAGGCCACTATACAACACCTCCCTCAAAGAGAACTCTGGGAGGAGGTGCTCCAGAAGCTGAGCCCTGCTTCTCTCCTGGTGACCAGCGGCACACCCTCTGATTTCTGCTGGTTTATCATCCACCGATCTTGTGAACTGAAACATGGATGCTTGGATAATAAAACACCAGGGAGCTAGCGTACCTGTATAAGAACAGATCCTTGGCCAGCCATCTGGTCCCCACAATTTTAAAGATGATCTCATAGGTTTCCAGGGCTTTCAGGTGCACGCCACTGGGCAGAGCAGGGTGCAGGCACTGAGCCAGCCTCTTGCTGATGACGAGCCGTCGTGGCAACAAGGAGTACTTCAGGTTACTCTGAAGGGCCTGGGAAACAAGAGGAGACGTGAATGAGGAGGAAGGTAGTGGTGTTGACAAGGGGAGACACTAGCAGGCCCCAGGTGGCTGTGAGAAATGAGATGGGACAGAGGGACTGCACGGCAGGGCCTGGGGCCACAAGCAGGCCCCAGGACATGGAGCCAGGGTCACCCTCAGCAATGCTGGGGGTGAGACGGGCTCCAGACGCGAGAGCAAGGGAAAGCTGTCTCTCTCAAAGTGACTGTGGCACCATTGGGCCAGCTTCTCAGACACATCTGGGCACCTGTGCACAGGTGAGAGCTGTGTGCTGCTGTCTGGGGAAGCCCCAGTCTACAAGCCCAGGCACAACGCAGACCATGTGCAGTGAGGTGACCTCCCATCCCTGTGACGACTCTGCGCTGTGGAAGCCCCTGGGTTTTTGCCCAGGGAGAGGAAGAGTCTGAATCACTGTTACAGCTAGGTGGCCCCCAGAAGAGATGGGTGGGGCCACTTCTAGGCTGTGACTCCTGGTGCCTTCAACAGTCAGTTCCACGGCTGAAACACAGAACCCTGTTGGCTCCACGGCTGTGTGTCCCCAAGCAGGATGCCGGCCTTATCTGTGCTAAAGCATCCCTGGCTATTTGCTTACCGGGAGTATGAGCGGTCAACACTGCTCGTCAAGGCACTGAGCACCTTGGCTGGGTGTGTCCTCACGACTCAATCTTATAATACTGAGTGTCTGTCATTATGGTGGACGTAACTCATGCAAATATTTACTGAAGACCTACAGGGTGAAGTCCACGCTCTTCATAAAGCCACTCAAAGGCCTCCACGGCACAATTCCCGCCTGCTTCAGCCTCTCACTCCAACACGGACAGACCCACTGTGGCCTCTGGCGGTCCCTCGGCCCGAACAGATCTACTTCCCACCCACCCAGCTAATCTTCCACATAAAACCAGCTGGGTGCCCCCTCGTGGAGACAGAATGGTCCCCTCTCCGACCTTCAGTCTCTCCTTCACCGGGTTCTATGTGCACGCCCGCCATGGACTCCCGCTGTTCTAGCAATCACCTGCCTCATGCCTGCCTTACTCGAGGGCGGGTCTGCCTCCCCGTGGTCCTCAGCCCTCTGAGCCTACAGTGCAGCAGCCACTTGGAGGAAGTCCCAGACGCAGACAATGCCCCGGGTCAGAACCCTTAGGATACCGCAGCTTGAGTTTTATAAATAAACAAAAGGATCCCTCCTCTAAAATAAACACTGAAGCTGTGTAGGAGTTTAAAGGAAGAGAAGGAAAAGAATATTTTTCAGCAGAAGCCTGTGCTCTATTAGAGGACGTGCCTAATGATATAGCAGGAGGAGGAACCCCCTCTCCCACCGGCTGGCTCTGGGAGGCGCGGGCTGAGCCTTCATGAATGCTACCCAGGGTGTAACTGAACTCTGCCCCTAAGGGATGTCCATGGGGAGGAAAAACCATACCGTCTCGAGGATAAAACTCAACACATAATACCTGGCTCATTTACGTTTAGTAAAATATCTGATTTCTACTAAACGTGTGATGAACTAAACAAAACCTTGAGCTGAACTGAGTTTCTGAATGAGTGTTAACACTGTAGGCTTCTGATCACAGCTTCTATCCATTTCTAGATTTCACTGACTTCCTATGTCTTCCTTTCCCTTTGCTTTTTACTCTTCCTCTCTCCTTTCTTGCCTCCCTTCAATAAATAGGTATTTAATGGCTATGAAATGTCAAGCAGTTTCCTATGTGCTAGAAATAAGATAATGAGCAAAAGCAGATTTCTAGTTCTCATGCAACATGCATTCTTGTCAGGGCGACAAACGTCATTTATACCGGAAAAACGCTAACAAATATAAGTCACGGGCCTTCAATAGTGTGTTAAGACATAGACTGGGAGAGTGCAGGTTTCTCTGAAGTAGTAACTGAGAAATAAAAATAAATAACTAAATAAAAAGAAAGAAGCCTGTGCTGTAATTGAACTCTCAAATTCAGTAAAACTCAATTTTGAAAAATAGATAAACCACAGGTCGGCAAGGAATACCTTGAAACATTATTTTACAGAGCCTAATATCTTAAAACAAAGGTAAAGTCAACAAAACATTTAAATGTGCTTAAGTCCAAAAACACAAACACTTGAGGGAGGAGGTGACCAGAGACGCATGCAAAGAGGAAATGAACCGGGAACCCATAGGAAATGGCACATTTTGTGACGAGCATTTTCAAACCTACAGAAAAACAGGTACAAAACCAACAGCACCATCATCCAGCCCAACCAGATCAACCTCTGGCCAGTCCTGGAGACACAGCTTTTCGAAAGACACAGCTGTGGCGCAGCTGGCCTGCCGGTGATGTGGCTGGTCATGGGCTTTCTCTAATGCAGAAGTGAAACTTACTTTTGTCAGGACAGAACTTTTGCTTGTTAATTTGCTCCCAAATCTCACTTTTGCTCAGTGTGCTCTCAGGTCATCAGAGGTGCAGAGGACACACCAGCGTCTGGTTCCCTGGGGCTGTGCCCGCGGCTAGATCGAATTTCTCTGCCCCTCGAACCAGACTCATCTGGCCAGTGAGACGAGCAGAATGACACGTGTCACCTCTGGCACAGGCTTTCGAAGTGATACTGAATGAAAATTTCTAAAGAAACACCTGGCAAGTCTTCAGACTGGAGATGAGAGTCGCCATGCAGAGGACTCGAGGCACGTCGGGGAATGGGCCTCGCCCACCCGGGCTCCTGCTCCCCAGTGACAGTGCACTCAGGAAATGGGGTTGCAGGCCCCCTGAAAACACCTTCTGTGTGAGCAGCACTGAGGAGCACCTCAGAAAACACTTGGTGTGGAACACGGCCCAACTCCTGATGCCTTTAAAGAAAGGTGCGCTCTCCTGTCACCCTCTGCTCTGTGCAGGAGCTCGGGGGTGGGACAGTGAGGAAGAACCAGCTGCCTCAGTCACTGGTAAAAGGTCACCATGAAGGTCCCCACTATGGACCCCCCAAAAATTCTACCTTTATGCGACTTTTCCTGTGGCCTCACTGATAGCTAACGTACAGCCTTGGGGACATTTCCCTGTTTTGGGGGCAACCTTCACAGACAATGAGAGTTATCTAACAATTCCCTCCCTCTGGCTGCTAGAAAGTCCAAGCTCAGAGTGGCAGTCCAGCCCTGTGGTTTCTTCGGTCAGACACCCTTGATTTCTTTTTTTATTTTCACCTGAGGACATTTTTCCTTTTTTTTGTTCAGATAGAGTGGGAGGGAGAGAGAGAAAGAGAGAGAGAGAGAAACATCGATGTGAAAGGGACACATCGAGTGACTGCCACCCACACAACCAACCAGGGCCGGGGACAAACTGCAACCGAGGTACACGCCCTTAGCGGGAACCGAACCTGAGTCTCTCTGGACCTCAGGCCGATGCTCTAACCGCTGAGCCAAATCAGCCAGGGCCCTTGATTTCTTGATTTAGAAGCTGCTCTACCTGTGAATTGTCAACTCAAGGGCTTTGGGCAGGAGCACAGTGTGTGGTCAGCGTGGCCAGGCCACTGCGAGGCTCCCAAAGGCCCCTTTCGGTAGGAAACTGGAGGAGTTCTGCTGTCTTCTCCAGGAGCTGGGATCAAGCCTGCTGCCCATGGCTGCTGCTACTTTTGAAAAAGGAAATGTTTGCCCGGCTGGTGTGGCTCAGTGGTTGAGTGTCGACCCATGTGCCAAGAGGTCACCAGTTCGATTCCTGGTCAGGGCCCGATCCCCAGTGGGGAACATGCAGGAGGCGACCAATCAATGTTCTCTCTCATCAGTGTTTCTATCTCTCTTTCTTTCTCCCTTCCTCTCTCTTTAACATCAATAAAGAAAAAAAATTTTTAAAGAAAATGTTCTACTTAGAGCAGCCTTGGCCTAGGAGGCTCCAAAGCTGAGCGCTGGGCACTGCGGTTGGGCATGTACAACGCAGCTGCCTAGAAACAGCGTGGCAGCTCCTCAAAATTTTATACATTTGATTTGTTTACCAAATTCCCACATGATCCATCAACCCCACTTCTGGGTACACATCCAAAAGGACTGAAAGCAGGAACTCAAACCAATGATTTGTACACTCATGTTCACTGCAGCATTACTCACAGGATCCAGAAAAGGGGGGAACACCCCAGTGCCCACCGATGGATGAACCAGTAAACAAGATGTGGTGCTTACATACCATGGGATACCACTCAGCCTTAAAAAGGAAGGACATTCTGACACATGCTACAACATGGATGAACTTGAAGACCTTATTCGAAATAAGCCAGTCACAAAAGGACACATACGGTATGATTCCACTTATACGAGGTCCCTAGAACACTCAAACCCATGAACAGAGGAAGCAGAACGGTGAGCCAGGAGCTCGCAGAGGGGGCGCTCGTGCTCACTGGGTACGGAGTTTCAGTACGGGAAGATGAAGTTCCCGAGAGAGAGAGATGATGGTGGTGATGCTTGCACAATGATGTGAATATACTGAGTGCTACTGAACTCTACACCCAAAATGGCTAAAATGGTACATTTTATGTTATGGATATTTTATTGCTGGCAAAAAAGAAAAAAAGAAATGAAGGCTGGGTCTCATGCAACTGTTCTTGTCAGCTAAGCTGCAAGAACCATGAACTCTTTTTTTTAAAATAAAATTTATTGGGACAACATTGGTTAATAAAATTAAATAGGTTTCATGGGTATAATTCTCTAACACATCATCTGTATATTGTATCGTGTGCTCACCAGCACCAGTCGAGTCTCCTTCCATCACCATTTATCCCCCTAGACCCTCTTCCACCTGCCTCACCCCCTTTAAGGACCAGGAGCTCTTTCTTTGAGTGATGATCGCACACTGGACTGAGCTAAAAACTCTTCCCGGACCAGAGAAAATGGAACTGCTTTTTAACAAATTCTGAAAGGACTCCGGGACTTGGTTCAGCCTGTGCTGAGTGAGTTTTAACCCTTCATTAGCAAAACAGCCACCTGGACCTGAGCGCCACCTTCTTCTGCCTGAAAACTCCTGGTTTCC